CGGTTTGCCGCACCTGATCCAGTCTGATTGCGCAACGAATTATAAGGGCACGGATAGATATTTGAAGGAGGTCGTCGAATTTCTGTCCAGCAACAGGACTTATTTAGGTACTGCTATGTCCAAGAAGAGCATCCAGTAGCTTGCCCATACTGGGGCGGTATTTTTGAGGCGGTGGTTAAGGTTGCAAAAACGCATCTCCGTCGCGTTATTGGCGAAACTATTTTGACATTTGAGGAGCTTGCCACTGTATTCTGTAAAATTGAGGCGGTACTTAACTCTCGGCCCCTCTGTCCCCTCTCATCCGATCCGAATGATTTGGAGGTTCTAACCCCGGGCCACTTCCTGGTTGGTCAGCCGCTTAACGCCCTGCCCGAGTACCCCTTCAGGGAAATAAACTCTTCGCGGTTGAGCAGATTTGACCAGCTGCAACAGATGACTCAGAGTTTTTGACACCGATCGAGGTTTTGGTTGGTGATTTGCTCTTGCAACGTGCCGTCGCGACCCTATCCCGTTTACCAATTTACTCGCGGACATAAGTCCTTATGCCCGGGACGGGGTTTGTTTAGGCCAAATTTTAACGTTTAAAACTTGCATTCGAAACGCTTGCCTGGGCGCCGTCATTCGATGGTATTTAGGTGACGTAGATGCCGTCGGGGGGGGGGGGGGGGGGCATGTACTTCCCAGTATTTGACGGCGTGGACCGGCGAGCACTGTCTTGACCGCCGCGGCCTTGTCGACGAGTGTGTTATTACGCTCGAATAGTTAGACTGCCTCTTATTGCGTTGTCTTTTTTGCGTGTTTACGTGACAACGAGGCTTTTTTTGAGTTTTGAATTGATTAACATAACTTCGATTGTCGATAATTTGCGTCGACAAGTTGCTTGTGTGGCATTTTAATATCGTACGAAGGAATTTTTATTTTGTCGGGTGGAACGCTAAAACTTTGTGACCCGAGAGGAGATCGCGTTTGTATTCGATTATAATTTTGTGTTAAGTGAACATGGGACATTGAACATTGACAGACAGTTCTTAAGTTGTGTAGTGTGTCACTTGTTTTAAGTTCGATTACGTTGATTTAGTTAAATTTGAAGTTAATTAAATAAAATTGATAAACTAATATAGTGAAATAAAAGCAGAAGGTCTCAATTGGTGAACGCCCACTGGAGTGATAGCACATTGTGGAACAAAGCCGCGCATGTGGGTCTGCGGTCCGATTACATCGGTGACGTCAGGTTACATTTACACACTTTTGTACACCACTTACACACTCACATTTTTCCCACCTGACTGCGCCTTGTGGCCGACCCTACCTCCGGAACTCGGTAAGTTGTGTTGCTTATTCAGCCATTAAATAATAATTATCCATAAGCCATTTGGGCACGAACCCTCTGGTTGCTCGTCCAGTGGGCTAGTCATGGGTCCTAGCCTAGTCGACTTTTGTCGGGGCAACTGAGGGCCGTAATAGGCGATGTCATATAAAATTCAATTCTTTATCTGCGCGAGTAGTACCTAATCGTAAATTAGATTAAAAATCTGTTGTTGATTACGCAATAATACGTCGAATAAAATTAGTTTGGAGTTGATTTGTTACTCATAGAATTATAATTCTATGTTGTTTCTAGTCTTGTTAGTTAGTTGACTAGAACATGGGTAGCAGCATCTTCTTACTAACAATTTTAAAAAAACTGCGATTTCAAGCGCATCTGTTAAGGGTATATAGCAAATGGTAAATATACAGAGGATGCCTAAGAGTCAATCTATGAGGGAGGCCTATATTCAGCATCGGGCTTTTCAAGTTTACGTTAGTCTGTTTGTAGGACAAGCGGCAAAACAGAAAAATAATATTTTTATCTCTAAATAACCGTGTCTCGAATCCGACCCTGTGCTACGTAATACGGTAAGAAGCGTAAGAGATGAAAATAAATGTCTGGAGAGCCTTGCCTATTATTTTCCGTAGACGCTAACACACTTTTTTTATAGGAGAGGGGGCAAACGATCATGCGGCTCACTTGATGGTAAGTGACTACCGCCACCCATGAACAACTGCAACACCAGGGGAATTGCAGATGCGCTGCCTGCCTTTTAAAAAGGAGTAGGCTCTTTTCTTGAAGGTACCTAAGTCGTATCGGTCGTATCGGAAAAATCGCTGGTGGTAATCGATTCCACAAGGAAGTTGTGCGAGGAAGAAAACTTCTTCTAAATCGCTTAAGTTTACCGTGTAGTGGCTGTGTAAGAATTTTCACTACCCCGTATTGTACCCGTGTGGGTGTCGTTAGAGGTGACAGAGGGAAAATGAAATAAGAAATGGGCAGTAGCATCTTCCTGATAACAACTCAAATTAATAAAAAACTGCGGTTGTCAACTCGCCTACCAAGCGTGGCAGCTATGGCAAAATACTTCCTATCTATGGAAGAGATCTGTGTTCAGCAGTGAACTATTATAAGCTGTAATGGATGGATAGAACACTTAACACGTTGAACGCCAAGAAAAAAATGCATCTTCCCGTTCAACCCGCGTCGGTCAGTGCTGACCACGTTTTACGAGTATTTTCGTTTCATTCGTACAGGCCGTCGGGCAGTGTTATCAATCTAAATCCTATATTCATTTACCCGCATGGCCCTCTAGTTACTCCATATGAAGTTAGTTTTTGAAAAACGTAAATGACTTAAACGTAAAGGAAGGAAAACAACAGTTACCAAAGACTGAAAATATTCGTAGAAAAACACTATATATAGAAATATCACCGATTTAAATGTGCAGTAGTGGATGAAGAAAAATAAATGTATTAAGGCACTTATATTTCAAAATGATGAACTTATCAAGTAAATTACGCACAAACTAAACTAAAACTAAATTTTTTTAACATGGGCCAAAAATGTTGAACTTATCATGTCGTTATGTTAAGAATGTTTATGTTTCCGATTGATGTGGCAGAGTTTCTTGTAGGTGTCGTTAGTATTTCAACAGTTCTAGATTCCAACCGATGCTTTGTAAAATATTTAGCATTAAACTATAAACAAAAAACTCTGTTTTGTGTAGGTACCAAAAAAGTTTATTGGAGTAAATCTATCTATAAAAATTAAACAAAAATAAAAGATAGGTAGATTGTACTCGTATCGACGTGTCCCAAAAAGTACACAATTTTGTTTCTGGCCAATGCACGCCCAAATGTGGTCACATTATACTTGTAACATATTACACACATCTGACGCACCATCAGAGAAGGTCCTTCTTTTTTCTGAAGCACGTGTTTCCTTTTTGTCATCCGTTCTGAAGGCGCTCTGGATGTGGAATATTTTGCCAAAAAACTCTTTAGTATTTCTTTTCTCAAGTCTACAATAGGTATGTTTCTTTGTAACAGTTTTATACAAATCTAAAGCATTCACCATGCCGACATTCAAAATCAGATCAAATGCCATTTTTTACCATTTTAAAGTTTTTCTTAATGGCGTCTGATATGCTGCCATCTGATCAGATACGTCTACTGCTCCCTTCGCCTTATTATAATCTACAACAATAGCCGGTTTCATTTTGGTTTTGTTATCTTTGGTAACGGAACAAAACGTGTTGAATGTTTTGTGGAAAGTACCAAAACATCTCGTTTGTCTTTCCATCTCAAAACAGTTATCCCATTATCAATTTCTCTCGCTATGAACTGGCCTTTTTCCACTTGGCCTTTTGCTTAGTAGAAACGTTAGTTTTACAACTTTAGGGAAATGTTTTCTGTTTTTTTCTTAAAGTGCCAACAAGATGTGTTTCATTTTTGAGGAGTTTTCTGACTAAGCCTACGCTCGGCTACCAGTTACCTATTTACAGCGAGTGTCCTCTATTATATAAGTCCTGGTAAAGGTTCATTACAACTCTTTTAGGGGTGGCATTTTTTGTTCATGTTGTTTACCAGCGTATATATTGATTTTGTATGTATGTGTGTACCATGGCAAGGTAAACAGTTTAAATAATTTGATCCCGTACTTGTGCCGTTTCTGCTTATTATATTGGCGGGATACCAAACGTCCTAGAAACGGAACCATACTACACCACTCATTAATTCATATGTCTTGACAAGGAAAATAATATCTCTGGAAATTGTCATTAATCACAACTAGCAAGCGGTTTACGCGGTGCAGCCGGTTCGATTTATGATTATCATCATCTTGGGAAAGGTACCTAGATCATTTGCAAAAGCAGTTCCAATCTATTTCTAGATATTACAGTTCGTGAAGTTTTGGCCAATAATATCATCCGTGGACCAATAATCAGCAATTTTTGGAAGCTTCACGAAACCCATGTACAAAACCAAGTAAAAAATTATTTTATCTCGGGAGATTAGTTTCAGACCATGAGCGAATTCTTGCATTTTTTGAAGCTTCTGCAATGCGAGTTATCTTAGTTATTGCGGAGGCTTTAGTACATTCAACAATTTGTTATGTTAAAGATATGTTAGTCATCGACGTGCGAATAGAAACTGACATGCCACAACATTCAGTGAAAGGAATTACATTGCGTTGATTATCTCTGGGTTCTGTCCAATTAGATTTACTTTCTAAATCTTCGATATCGCGACCAATTTCAGCATCACTACCTTCACTTGTTGACAGGATCCGCAGGTGCCTCTTACTTGATCGGATGTATTGAATATTTTCTTCATCATCATCAGAATTTAGGCTGAAAGTTTTGTCGAGAAGATTGATTTTTATATTTTCGATCTGAGTTAAGATGTCTTGAGTAATCTCAAAAAGTTTTTAGTGAAAACTTGTGTGTAATTAAACTACTTTAAAAACTTAAGTATAATTATGTTATACGTAATTTTTAATGCGCTTAAGGCATGCACAATTGGATTTACCAATAGGTTTTTTTTTAATTTTTCTCGAATCTCAGGCAAATTAATTCATCTAATTTGATTTTAAACCTTGGGTCGGAAATGAAACAAAAAAAAACAGATATGTGAAAGTGAAAAAAACAATACTATAATTTAATAACGAAAATTTAATGTTGTTTTAGTGAGAGCCTTGAGAGAAGACGGCACGGAGTGCCAGCTTGGTGAAGTCGGCAGATTGGTCTTGAAACTGCCTCTGCCTCCAGGGTTTGCATCTACGTTATGGCAAGCGGATGAGCGCTTCAAAAAAGTTTACTTCGAGTCTTACCCAGTAAGTAATTATTAAGTTACTCTACGGTTACTATTACATTTTTTTGTATTCTCAGAACTTTGGACAAATTAAGCAAAGTACAGAACTTTCATTACAGCCCTTCACAAGTCCACTGCTGAACATAGGCCTCCCCCAAAGAATGCCACAAAGCACGGTCCTGAGCCACCTGCATCCATCGACTTCCTGCATATCTTACCAGGTCGTCACTCCATCTAGTGGGGGGATGCCCTACACTTCGCCTGCCGGTACGAGGCTGCCAACAATTGAACAATTTGTATTTTTAATTAAAGGCAAAGGGATATATGCCCGTACAGCCTTGTCTGACGTGTATTTTGTTTACAAAATTCTTTACAATATGCTAACCACAGACATTAATATCATATATAATCAATATCTGTGACTGTATGGAAGATTTAGACGACAGTTTAACTCAGCGGACAGTTGATGGCGATAGTATATCAAGTCGCCTTATCGGATAAAGTAAACTTGAGATTTGTATCACCATCAAAGTGACATCGTTTCGTATAATATAGTGCAGATGCGTAAACATTTAATAAAATAATATCACGCCACTTTCACGTATCAAAACTCACTGCAAATCATTGTTTATATATTTATTTAATTCATTTAAAAAGGTTATAGTATATATTAGGATATTATATAGTTATTAAATATATTATATTGTATTCTATGTGAAAAGTTTGGCGTCGCTGGCTTCCGCTAACGCTTTACGATGTATACTAAATAAAGCTTTTCGCCAAAACGTATTATTTATACAAAGGCGTGTGTCTAACGAGCACACAGTCCACCAGTAAGTAGTTACTGCCGCGAGTAGACAACTGCAATCAACTTCAAACAAAGAAGGATATCGATGCGTTATCATCTCTGAGGACTAAGACGGAATGCCTCACAGCCTGTAATTATATTGTCTGTCTTTACCCTTCAGTACCGAAATACGTATAATATTGGCAAAGCCAGTAACAACCCGCTTGGCGGTAGAAATAGGTAAGAGGGTACTTTCCAGACAGACTCATGAGCAGAAAATAAAATCATACCACGTAGTAGGCAAATATTTATTCTAAATAATTATAGCAAATGTTACTCCTATGAGGCAATCTATGAGGTATGTCTATGTATGTTCAGCACTGAACTTTTTATAGCCCTTAATAACTGGACGTAGTACAACAAAAAAGCTGCAATCACAAAAAAGCTATTTTTTTTTACGATATTGACGTTTGAAGTATCAAAACACGGATATAGATTTCTTTTATATATATTAGAAATTTTGCATTTTACATCCATCACTTTCGCTGGAATTTCTCTTACAAAAATATAAACTAAGGATTATTTTGGTATAAATTTTATTTGTTACCGAGTGTTTGTTGAGTAACTACATCCAAGTGAATGAACGACAACGGCGTTTAGGCTGTGCCTAATATATAAATTACACCAGGGCTACTACGACACACAAGACGCCGGCTGGGTGAGCTCGGACGGCGCGGTGTGGGTGGTAGCGCGCGCGGACGACGTGATCAACGTGGCCGGGCACCGGCTGTCCACCGCCGCGCTGGAGGACGTGGTGCTGAAGCACGCCCGCGTCGCCGACGCCGTCGTGGTGGGCGCACCCGACCCCACCAAGGGCGACGTGCCGCTCTGCTTGTACGTCATGAGGCCGCCGCAGGATGGTTAGGAATAGTACATATAATATTTTTATTGATTAATAATAATAATGTCCTCCAGACCGAATTTCAGTCACGGCGGCCATCCGCAACGTAGACTAGCCATCGGCCCAGGACAGGATTAAAGTGCCCAATTTCATACGCAAGCACAAGTGCACTCTGTATTCCCTCACTCTCATAGTCCATTGCGGCGATAATTCTATACTACCGGTTTAATGTGCTGTCGGAGGGGACTCCAGGCTGCTACCGAAAATTTCTTAACAGAAAACCCCAATAACTCGTTTTAGCTCTACCCGGTAATCGAACCTAGGACTAAATATATTACTTCATAGGTGAGATATTTGCCATAGCTGTAACTTTTAGTGTGCGGTTTGGGAACCGCATTTTTTATTATTTTAGTTTTTATGAGATAGATGCTGATGCCCATCTCCTGTTTCATTTCCATCTGTCGCCACTTAAGACACTCACAAATTGATATGGGGTAGTGGTTCCCCTTACGCCGCCATAAATCGATGGGTCTTTAGTTTAATAAACAGAAGTTGTTTGCTTGTGACCTCATCGATGCTCTGTCTTACCCGACGCTGGCTTAGTTATTTTATTACGTTTTGCCTCAATTTTCAAGATGTGACTTGATTTGGTTTTGAAGACTTCTGATCACTTTTGAATGTTTCCATGTTAAAGTAAGGAAGAATAAAGGTTTATGTGTTACCGCATCTACTTGTAGCACTATTCAATTTGCAGAGTTGATATTGAAATAACACACACACAAGCACACACAGATACAGACACGCACATACACACACACACACGCATGCACGCACGCACACATGCACGCACGCAAGCACGTACCCACGCACGCACCCATACATGAATGCACGCACGCACGCACGCACACACTCACGCACGCACGCACAAAAGCACGCACGCACACACGCACGCAGATACACACACACACACATTTGCTATGTTATGCTTTGCAGTTTGCCACCGTATAACCAGTGGGAAAATGGGAGCCATTTTGAAGTAGCATATGACCAGAAAATAATATGTTAACACACATAACTTAACATGTCCCTAAGATATTTTAAGTTATTTTTTAAAGATAAGCACCAAGCAGATTTCCTTTTTTGTTTCAATTTGCCATAAAGTAGACAATAAAAAGATTTTATAAAAAGTAAGAGCCGACCTCAAAGAACTAAAAAGAATAAAATATTTTTCAAACATTAGCTTCAAAAGTCTATGCTAAGAACTAAAAAGAATAAAATATTTTTCAAACATTAGCCTCAAAAGTCTATGCTAAGACATAGTGTATACTTAGAAGTATTATCTGAGTGGACTAAGTAATATTACCAGAATGTCGGCTAAATAGTTGTTACGGCCTACGGCTGCTCCCTTAAAGGATCCAATCTTCAGGGGCCCATGAGCTGAAGACCTCCCGAACAGACGTAGGTCGGGCCTCCTAAGGCCACGTGGAATCTCTCTAATTACACTAAAATATATGGCGGAGCGTTATACTACGGCCAGTCGACCGGAAGGAATATGGATGAAGCTTACTTACCTATCCAAGGCGACTGGTCCCTCCGGAGTCGGTCAGGTCGCTTGTGGTTGTGTAGTGAAAGGGAAATAAGTGATGTGATGTGTATCTGGGTGTGACTGATGGTGATTGAACCTAGACCTTGGCCGTCGGTAGCAGCCCGAGCGTCGACACTGCTCCAACTTGAGGGGGCCCTCCGAGGCATCCACAGTCACTTTCCTCTTTCTTCACGATGACAGTCAATTAACTCTATCGTACGATTTACTAACTTACAGAAGCCACTAACTATCGCTGGTTATAAGGTTAACACACAAAACGCACACGGAGTTTAAAGGGTCAAAGGTCACTACCGTTTCGCGTAGCAACAGTTAATTCTAGAATACAGGGGCCGCACTAACTAATATTGTCGAATGCACTATACAGATTCTGAGTCGGACCCAATAAGTCCTGGGGAAGCTCTCCAGTAGGGATACGCGCCACAAAATTCCTAAACCGTATTTTTACTGTCCGCGCTTAATTATTCCGAGTTCCCGCGCTTAATTGGCAGCGTGCCAATTGTTAGCACACCTGACAGACGACTGACAGCCCTTGGGCGTTTTACGTACGACCGAATGTCAAACCGGTATGACACTGAGCCGCACGCCCTCTCGCGTTCGTTCCTTGAAAGTGTTTTGCGCGAACAAACCCCCGTCCCGGACATAAGGATTTAGGTCCGCGAGCAAACCGGTCAGCGGGACAAGGTCCCGAAGGCAAGTTGCAAGATCGAATCTACAACCAAACCAGGCCACCTTAGGCACCCCATCAGATCTTGCAACCCTAACCAGCGCCTCAAAAAATAGCCCTAATGTGGCAAGCCGGAGAGTCAGCCTCCACTGGATGCCCCTCCTGGGCATCGCAGCACTTTAACAAGTCCTGTGCTGGACAGAAGTCCGACGACCTCTTTCAAACACCTATCTGTGCCCCTATGATTAGTTCCGCAATCCGACCGGATAAGCTCTGCAAACAGCGACGCTACACGAAGCTGCCCAGACAAATTTTGTGCCAGCAGTTGCTTCAGTGCAGAGCGCACCCACAAATTCCACATGAACGTCGTCTGTGGAGAGCCCAACGAAACGCACAGATAGTCCCTAGTATGAATTTTCAACAAGGAGGCCTAGCCAGGCCACCCACCATATTATCATTTACTAAATAGCGCGGCAGCTGATTTCAATCAGATAATCTCCAAACTAGCTAGCCTGTTAGGCAAGTAGTCCTATGCTCATATTTCAACTAATTTTTCAAAAGCATCAATGTTCAGCTACAGAATTAATTCAACCAAATTAATGACCGATGCGCATAGGTCAACTTGCAAATTAAACAAAACAATAACGTAAGGGACAGCCCTACTCCTTCGCAAAGCAAAATGATTAAACACTATCATAAACATATAGATAATTTTTCAAATAGTGCGCCATTCAATTTCAGATGAATTCAAATTTTCCTTTCAGCAAACAGACGCAACAATCAAATACAGTGATTAAATATATGTACAAAACACATGCAGTAACATTTAAAGGAGTAGATTAAATTCAATTCGTTTAATTTAAACCGCTACAAATAGGAAAATTTCGCGGAAAGCCCAAAGCAATTTTTAATTTTAATTCAAGTATTTTTTGACTAAGTGCTCGACCAACCCAAATCTAATACCCTTTGACAACGTGATTCAACGCTCCAGGGGGGCCCTAATCTTCCCACCACCAAGGGGAGGCCACACGGCGTGAACCCGAGATAAATAGAGCACAACCTTTAACAGTTGCCACTCGGGTTGTACGCCTTCACTGAGGCCGTCGGCAACAGAACATTTTGACAAGTGGACTGTTGACGGCTTAAGGCTCAGTGGAGGCGGCCGTGGTGGGAACTAAGGCAGCAGCTAGACAGAGCCGCCTCCATCAAATGGGGAACAGTGGTACACCAGTCGCGGCCACTCAGCTAACGGAAGTGAGAAGGGTCCAGCGGACCGATGAGTGGCCGTGAAGTTCCTCTCCACACGCTGAGGGGGGGTGATGACACCCCCGCCCCTGGGGGAATTACCCCCCGACTGGTCGGGGGAGGGACTCCTTTCAAACTTAGGGGCCTGGTGGCTGGCCGGCGGGCGCCGAGAGTCACCCTGCAGAGGGCGTGGCTGAGCGCCCCCGCCCGTGGGGGTCGAGGGCCTGGCAGAGCCCCGAGAGGAGATGCCGTTCGCACCCAGGCACAAAACGGCATGGTGATTGCCCTGGCAATGCAGACAGGGCCGTCGATGCGGACAGTCTCGCTGGAGGTGCCCTCCCAGACATGACCAGCACCAGCGGCGCTCCTTGGCGATAGTTCGCCTCGCAGGAACCGGCTTACCTAATAATTTCGGGCACAACGTTACCCGGTGATCAGATGCTCGACAATAGGAGCAGGGGGGGGTTGACGATGACTTGCCTGGCGGGTTCAGCCTCTCACTGGGCACATCTCGTAAGTCGTCAACGGTGCCCGCCGCGTTCTCGATCTGCCGGCACTGCTCCTCTAAAAACCGCAGCAGGTCATAGAAGGGCGGAATATAGGAGGCCTCGTCCCCGCCGTACCTCTCCTCAAAATGGATTCGAAGGTCGAGAGGTAGACGGGACAGCACTATGCGGAGCAACAAAAAAGCCCATTCGCCCACTGGTAAACCCAGCCGCCTCAACGTATTACAGGCCACCAAGACTGGATCCAACAGGTCCGGACGCAGTCTGGCCCGGTCACTAAGCAGCGGGAGGCTTAGAAGCTGCTTAACATGCTCGTCTGCAATTCGCCGGATGTTGGCGTATCTTCTGGCTAGGAGGTCCCGAGCAGTCTGGTAGGCGTCGTCCGACAATTTCAAGTGGCCGACGACGCCCAGGGCCTCCCCCTCCAGTGAGGCCAGGAGGTACGCCATCTTTTGTCTCGGGGTCAAGTCACTCCGGGCGTCCACTAGACTGTCGAAAAGACCAACGAAGGTCAGCCATTCGGAAAGGACCCCGGAGAACTTTGGCAGGTCCAGAGTTGGGAGTCGTCCCAACAGCTCCGGCTGAAGCTGCTTCAGAGAGGACTCGGGCAGGTTACTCATCCGAGCTTCACGCGCCTCCTCGGCATACCTGCCTTCAGCCTCGATCAACTCGTCCGTGAGCCACAAGAACTGCTCATAGTCCGCAAAGCAAGAGTCCAGGACTCCCTTCTCCACATCCGAATCCTCGAGCTCAGCGTAAGCCTCCTCCACTGCGGCCCTTTGAGCATCCACCTGCTCGAACCGCTTCATCAAGTTATGGACCCTATCCGGTCGACCTATCAAAGCATGGGCGCTTGTGGCCCAGCGCAACTCAGTCCGCAGACAACGGATCAGTAGCTTAGGCGATGTCATCACTATTAAATACAAATTACGACGCGGCTTGAGCACAGATTACAAAGATAACAAACAAAAAATACAACAAAAATTAACAGTTAATAAATGCAGTTCCTATCAAATCGCGTTGAATAGAAATTACACAAATACGAATTACTACGTATCAACCAAATACAAGTTAGCTCAAAAGAAAAGACACAATCAAATTAACAAATAACAAATACTAGTGCGATGAAATCAAGTTAAATTCAAAGTACGCAAATACAATTACTACTCTTTAGTACAAATACAAATTACAGTATAAACGAAGATACACATCACGGTCGATCAACAAAAATGCCTAGCTCGGAAATCGAACCTTCGATAAGTAATCCACTACAACTATCCGACAACGATAATTAACCGATTACGTAAAAATAACCATCTACCTACATGACGTATATCTCTAGAAAAACTCCCGCTTGCACAACCTAGGGCGCGGCTTTTCAAATTACCCTCTAACCAAAAAAAAGGCAAGCAACAAAGCAACAAAGGAAAATAATTCTATTATTACGTACAAAAAAAATATTTTTACGTATTACGGACGGGCGTGATTGTAGATGCAAATTAAACCAATCACACCAACGCTCCCTGCCACCAAAATTGTTTAATGTTTATCAAACACGAGATTTGCCACGAGACGAGATCTTATGGCAATAAAAATATTATGTGTGAGGGTGTACTTTTGTATAATAATCTACCGGATACTATAAAAGATTGTAATAATATTAAGCATTTTAAGAATAAACTAAAATCATATATTGTAGATAAAATTTCATAACTGCATATCTTCAATTTTGATCATATCTGTAATTGCATTAATACAATATTCATATTTTTTAAAACATTACGATATAATACATACATATGTTTGCATTAAGTAAGAAAAAGAATAACAAATTAATTAAGGATATACATACAAGAATAAAACATAATAGAATTATATAATGCATGCTACCGTGTAAATACTGGTAATATTATTTTGTATGTATACTTAATCTCTGTAAAAGTGAACAATGTGTTCTTTAAGAGAAATAAATGTCTTTAAATGTCTTTAACCCGAAACACTATAGTCGGGATCGACCGGGAATCGAACCCGGAATCGCGCTCTGCTACCAGTTTGTTACGGCCTACGGCTGCTCCCTTAAAGGATCCAATCTTCAGGGGCCCATGAGCTGAAGACCTCCCGAACAGACGTAGGTCGGGCCTCCTAAGGCCACGTGGAATCTCTCTAATTACACTAAAATATATGGCGGAGCGTTATACTACGGCCAGTCGACCGGAAGGAATATGGATGAAGCTTACTTACCTATCCAAGGCGACTGGTCCCTCCGGAGTCGGTCAGGTCGCTTGTGGTTGTGTAGTGAAAGGGAAATAAGTGATGTGATGTGTATCTGGGTGTGACTGATGGTGATTGAACCTAGACCTTGGCCGTCGGTAGCAGCCCGAGCGTCGACACTGCTCCAACTTGAGGGGGCCCTCCGAGGCATCCACAGTCACTTTCCTCTTTCTTCACGATGACAGTCAATTAACTCTATCGTACGATTTACTAACTTACAGAAGCCACTAACTATCGCTGGTTATAAGGTTAACACACAAAACGCACACGGAGTTTAAAGGGTCAAAGGTCACTACCGTTTCGCGTAGCAACAGTTAATTCTAGAATACAGGGGCCGCACTAACTAATATTGTCGAATGCACTATACAGATTCTGAGTCGGACCCAATAAGTCCTGGGGAAGCTCTCCAGTAGGGATACGCGCCACAAAATTCCTAAACCGTATTTTTACTGTCCGCGCTTAATTATTCCGAGTTCCCGCGCTTAATTGGCAGCGTGCCAATTGTTAGCACACCTGACAGACGACTGACAGCCCTTGGGCGTTTTACGTACGACCGAATGTCAAACCGGTATGACACTGAGCCGCACGCCCTCTCGCGTTCGTTCCTTGAAAGTGTTTTGCGCGAACATAGTTACATCAAAATCTTTTTTCCCCTATTTTTTGATTAATATTCCTCTAAAGTTATAACCTTTTTAATCAAAAAGAAACATCAAAAACGGGTTCATAATTTACGAACCTATCGCGTAACACACGAAGAAAAAAAACATTCACACTAGTCGTTGATTATGAAATATAAAGCGTGCGCACAGTATCAGAGTACAGATCATTTGAAAAGTAACACTTTTCCTATTTATCAAGCAACTCTTATTTGTGTGTCAAAACTTAAGCCTTTACAAAAATCTAAAAGTTCAGCGTCATAAAGATAAATTGAGCAAGCCCAATAGTAAGACTGTTCCTCGTTTGTGTAACCATTTACCTAAATATATACAAGAGTCTAAGAGCCTTCACATTTTTAAGAAACAACGAAACATATTTTTAACCAAAAAAGTGTATTGACGATTATTTGTTTGACAATTTTTAATTTTAACTATCAAATTTATTGAATGAACCACAAAACACAAAACTTTATCTACGTTATTAATTTTGAGACAATAATTTACACTCTTCTTGACATTTATTATATTATTATTTAGTGAATTATTAATATGTCAGTAGTGCAATTATAGAAATAGGATTATATTATGTTAATTTAATTATCAGAATTTTCCTTGTAATTATAAAAAAAATCTTGTATTTAATTAGTTTGCACACCGGAAGGTATTTTATATGTATATTTTATATTTATATGGCTGTATTTTTGTTAAATTATTAAGACCTATTGTAACTCATATATCGCAAACGAATAAAAAGATGATTTCTTATATTTACGCGAACATTACACATTGACTAGAACTATTTTTTACGGATTTTATCGCGTTTAATTTACTACAACCCAGGTGCTTTACAGCAACCCATGGTCACTTGCGATAAAATCCGTAAAAAAATAGTTTTAGTCAACGAATAAAATGAATTTGAATAACTAATTTCATTTTTCTTGTTTCAATTCAACAGACGAAGAAATTGTAGCTGAGAGTACCGTGACCCAGGAATTGATCGCCCTCGTCCGGCACCTCATAGGACCGATCGCGGCATTTAGGAAAGCAGTCGCAGTACCAGCTTTGCCTCGCACTAGGTCCGGCAAAGCCCTACGCGGCGCTATCGCCAAACTAGCCAGATCTCAACTAGTAAAACTGCCAGCCACTATAGAAGATGCCACCATTTTTGGAGAAATAAAAATCGCATTGCAGAGGTGTGGGTATGCGATTGATGCTCCTGACCCTGAGCTGACTTGTTGAGCATTACCTATAATAGATAATACATGTAATACGTTGAAACATTATTTCGGATTGATAAGAAATCATATAAAAACCGAAAACTGTAGAATAGCAGAAGGCCGTATTGTGAAATTGTATAGTGTTGCTTATTATATGAACCCTGTTATTTTAGTTATTTCTGTAGAGATCTGTATTTAATTATATAAAGTATCATAAGAATAGTGTACGTGCGGGAAGATAAACATCGTAGCGGAAAAATGAACTTAAAATTATTTAAAACTATTATATTATAATCCACCTATGACACTCGTTATTAATTGAATATATTTTATTTTCTAAAAATTTAATGACAGTCTTTTCTATAAATAAATACCCGCGCCCTATCCTAGGATATCTTTTCGCATAAATAATGAATTCAAAATTTTATTTTATTTACACTATTGGAAAAATTTATAAAAGGAACTTTAAGTCTTGATTCATCTTCTTTGCTTATTGTAAGGATTAAATATTTAGTTTTATTAGGGGCAGTTTTATTACTGGCGTTTGAAAAAAACTATTTGTGTTACCAAAAATATAACTTCTTTGTTAATGTTAAGAAAATAATCTATAGAATCTATGCAATATATGAAACTACATATGAATGTAGAGCTTTAATTTTTTAGCTATCGCCGCTACGTAATTGAGTATCAGGAGTGTACGAAGGTACACAAAATCAAAGGTTATCATATTATTTATTTATTTATTTAAAAACAACATGTGCGACGAACGTACTATGTATTTTCAATGTTAATATTAACATTACTGAGGTTCCTATATTACTAACCGCCGACATTGAAATTCGGTCTGAAAATCATTACCTATAGAAATTAAAAAGGGACGAAACGAATTTGTTACATTTTTAGATTATTCGTTGTTATTCTGTTGATTGTTTATTTTTCCTAAAGAAATTATGACCCTAATGTATAAACTTACAGCACAGTTTCTCTTGCTTTGTCTCTTCCTTGATGTTGGCCACTTTTCATTAAATTTTTCTATGGCTGTACATTTTAATTTGAATTTTTAAATACAGCAGTTTACGTTTCTTAGAATTGTTCGTTTTGATAAAAAAAAAACGAGCACACAGTCCACCTGGTGGTAGGAAGTGAATGCTGAGACAGCTACATCTACCCTCGTTTAACAATCAAAATGCTTTGTCACCCTGAGGATTAAGATGGAATGCCCCGTTTCCAGTAAAAAGGGTCTCCGTTTTTCTATACTCACCACACGAAACATTGCAGCATTAAGCGGTGAATTAACGGTGGTATTCTGTGAGAAGGTGATCCTTCCCCGATCGTGTCATCGTTATCGTGTTACAACCATACATGGCCTTACCACGTATATTATGGATTGATACGTCAACAATGAAAATAATTAATTTATTATTGCGAGTTCTTTTAATATTTGCTATAAAATGAAAGGTATAAAACTTATATCTTTCGAAAGGTCATAGATGTTATAGATGTGCACAAAATGATGTGTGTATAAATTATGTACGTAAAGATAGGTAAAATAAAGTTAAGATTCAAAACATACGCGATACTAGTGTATAAAAACGACGTTGCAAATGTTATGAAAGTTATGTAACATTTATGTAATATTATAATTATTGCTTATATATATTTGGTAAAGTTAGTTTTGATTCATAATTTTGTAATTATAATTTAAATATGTACGAGTAGTAAATAGATGAATTTAATTTATGATTTTTACGGTTGTGAATGAAACATTAAACTAGATTACTTAAAACTGACTTTTATTAAAAATCTTTTTTAATAGCTTGTAAAAATATCTTACTTGCTGACTATCTCCATATCTATTCTGCGAAAATTATATGGTGAAATCTCAGACCTAAGAATAATATTCTAACACCATCATCATCAATTTTAAAGCTCTTCTACAGAATGCCACAAAACATGATCCTGAGCCAGCTGCGTTTATCGACTTTTTGCATGCCTTACTAGGTCGTCACTCCATCTAGTACTGCCACTTGAGACTTGTCACTTGATTCTCGAGTAATAGCCTCGTACCCATAAGCACGCGCTGGTTGTATAATATTGAGGTATACGTCACAAGAAAAAGTGTCATAATCTCTCGAACGCTGTCCATCAGAGTTGTCCGTAATTTGACCTCTTTTTGAAGTTTGACTTACATAGTTCCACGATTTGTTTTTGGTAAACATACCCGTCAAAAACTTTGAGCATAGTTTCCCTGATAACTAACGTTATCGATATGACAATGCACGTGACCTTTGTTTTGTCCTCGTTCATTGTATTTCCTATCCGTTGGGAGACACTGTTGAGGACTTTGTATAGTATAGCGCTGAGGTATTTCAACTATTCTGTCATAAGAACTATATCATCGGCAAATCGAAGGTGAGTGATGTACTCGCCATTGATATTAATTTCGCATCCTTTCCAGTCAAATAGCTTGAAAACATCTTTCAATGCAGCGGTGAAGTATTTCGAGGATATAATGTCACCCAATCTTACACCTCTATGCAGTTGGATCGGTTTCATACTCTGGTTCTTTACTCAGATAGCCTTCACAGCCCTAGCGTACAAACACCTCAGCACTTGGATATTGGCCGTAGTGCCAAGTTGACTGTCGGAATACTGTAGTACCTAATAGTAGTAAAATACTGTAGTATCGCTCAAATTTCGACAAAATCAAAAGCTTTCCCATAGTTCACATACGCAAGACAAAGTGGCAAACTGTACTCTCTGTCTTCTGTACAATTTTTTTTATAGGATATTGTGACTAACGAGCACACAGTCCACCTGATGGTAAGTGGTTGCTGTGGCCCATAGACCTCTACATCTATCGTCGTTTGCAAATCAAAATGCAGATGCATTGTCACCCGTGAGGACTAAGGTGGAATGCCTGTTTTCCAGTAAAAAGGGTCTCCGGTTCTCTACTCTCACCATACGAAACACAGCAGTGTTAAGCTGCTATTTGACGCTGGTATTCTGTGAGAGCGTGGTCATTTCCCGGTCGAGCCGACCCATTTGTGCTACAACTATGCTACTAATATAGCTGCAGTATGGCTCTACCACGTACAATTTACCGAATGGTATGTACGTGACTTCAATCATTGGCTTTCCACCCGATTTTAGGAGCTTTGCTATGATTCTATCTTCACCCAAAGCTTTGCCATTTTAAGATGCTGAATATCACTTGATAATTGCACTTGCTTCTTGTACACACTTGTGTGTGGCTCTTCATTCGAAATCTTATGTCGTCTAAAAGTGACACTACCACAGTCGGTTTTCGTCTTAGACAGATGGGTTCTTTTCAGCAGACAGATCTTTGGCAAATTAGTGTGATGTTAATTTCTTTAAATTATTAACATCAGGTTTGACCGATCTGCCAAACATGCGATTAACTCCTAAAGGAAAGAAGCCTTTGCAGAAATGTTTACAGTTTAAGCCAAAGACCTTACTGACATTGATATTAATAATGTCTAACATGAAGATGGGATTAACAATAACATTAAATGATTTGACAAAAATTCATCACTCAGTGCTTAATTGTGAATATAATAATGTTACGCGCCACTATTAATGTCTTGTACATGGCAACACTAGTCACACTAGCGCCCTCTAGTGTCGAGTAGCAGAACTAGGAGAGTCGAGATCCTTCCAGAAATTTCGGGACCGATATGTACTCGAACATTCTAGATGTCGCTACAGTAGAAGGTTCTGGAAACTATCTGAGGCCCTATATAAGACCGGTATAGACCACGACCGGGGCAGTATTGAATTGGCGATACAAGAGACTACTTCGAAGCGAAATAACGGCGAACTGTGTTTTATTATTAGTGTGATTTTTGATTGTAATTAGTGTTGTGTAATTAAAGTGTCAATTTTGGTAATTCAGTCGGCAGTTTTTAATTGTCTCGAACCCGAAGCTCGTAACAATTGGTGTCAGAAGTGGGATCAAATATGCCGATTTTACCTAAAGACGACACGGAGGGTATCCGTACCCGAAGTCAACGCCAACAGGAGACGGACCAGAGACGATTTGGTAATGCAACGCCGCAAACGTCGGAAGGCCAGTTGCTAACCACGGAGGCTGGCCCGTCAGCAGCTCCTGCATCTGCAGCACCTGACTTAGGTGCTCTGATGATGATGCTGCAGGATCAGGCTCGCCAACAGGAGGAACAGGCCCGCCGACAGGAGGAACAGGCCGGCCGACAGGAGGAACAGACCCGTCGGCTGGAAGAGCAGCTGCAGCGCGGTATGGAAGAACAGATGCTCCTCAGGAAGGACCTTCACGCTACCTTCGGGAAAGAGATAAAGGAGGTGAAGGATAGGGTTGCTCAACATGATAACCGCCTGTCGGAAGCTGAAACCCGAATCGACCAAGTGAACAATCGGGTTGACAACGTGATGGCTGATGTGAAGAAAACGCTGGACGACCTCAAACTTGGGGATGGAATCACCGCTCCCGTGGTAGCTACAACACCTTCGCTACGTGGATTCAAAGTGCCGTCGTTCGACGGGAGTTCTTCCTGGTCGGCCTACAAAATCCAGTTCGAGGCTGTCATGAAAGCGAACGGCTGGAATAAAAGTCAGGCCATGACTGCTCTCACCCTAGGCCTACGCGACCAGGCCTTAACTGTTTTGGAAGCGCTCGGTAAGGAAGTGACTTACGAGCAGCTCCTTGAGGCATTGGAGGCGAGATATGGCGATGCTCACCTGGAACACGTCTTTCGAGCGCAGCTCAAAGATCGCGTGCAACGCAGTAACGAAAACCTGCAGCAGTGGGCCCTTGAGGTGGAGAAGCTGGTTCGAAAAGCGTACCAGTCTGTACCTGTGCTCATTGTAGGGAACAGCTACAGTTCAGGACCGCAATAAGGGCTACAACCCTAGGTGCTACGGCTGTGGGGAAAGGGGCCATCTTCGATCCAGCTGCCCTAAACGAACTATAGAAAGGGAAGGTGATCGATCTCGAGAGGGTAGTGCGGATAATAGCACCGCCCAGCTGCAGCAGGGAAACGAGTAAAAGCCAGGACTGCGGGGCGGGTGCTGGCTGATGTTAAAAGAGCCCCAAGGATTTCGATCTCACAAACCCATGATGGGAACAGCCTAATCATCAAGGGCGAAGTCAACGGAACGCCGTGTAAACTGACCATAGACACTGGAGCCTCTCGCACGGTTGTCAGTTCCCAACTTATAAGTCGGTTCCTTGGGGACTTCGCATACAACCGAGAACGCATTAATTTGGTGACAGCCACCGGTCAGCGCATACCCGTCCGTGGAGAAAAGGAGATGGAGTTGAAGCTAGGCAACATGATCTACCTGCATAATGTCATCGTGGCTGATATAATGGACGACTGCATCCTGGGCCTAGACTTTATGAGGAAGAATTGTTGTGAGATCGACGTTAAGCAAGGTGTTTTGAAATGTGGACAAGAAGAACTTTTCGTGGAAGGGGCGTTACCAGGGAATGTGTACAGCCTTAAGAAGATTGTTCTTCCGCCGAGATCGGAAACGATTGTGCCGGTTAGTCTTCCTCGGAGTCCTGGGCAAGCTCATCGTTGTGTACTCGTGGAAAGGGTAGACAATGACCTTCCATGGAAAGTGGCTCGAACCTTGGTCAGAACCACCGACATCTCAGGAGTACGTGTGTTGAACCTTTGTGATCAGGAACAGATTATAGAAAAAGGCACATTGGTTGGTACTAGTGAGGAAGTGGATTGGTTGCGTCGATGCGAATATCTATCGACCGGGACCCCCAGCAAGGATGGACAAACGATAGTGACCACACTTTTGGAAGACTGTCGCAGCGTTCTTTCCCCGAATGAAATGGTCAAGGCTAAGAAGTTGTTACTCAAGTACGCCAATGTTTTCTCGTCAAACGAAGCTGACATAGGAAAGACTGGCTTAGCTCAACACAAAATAAACACAGGACAAGAATTGCCTATTCGTCAGCGGCCAAGAAGATTGCCTGTAGCACGTGAAAAGGAAGTGGAAACCATGATTGAGGGAATGGTGAAGGATGGTGTTATTGAACCTTCATCTAGTCCATGGTGTTCACCTGTGGTGCTGGTAAAGAAGAAAGACGGCAGCATGCGGTTTTGTGTTGACTATCGCCGCCTGAACGACGTTACAAAGAAGGACAGCTATCCCTTGCCAAGAATTGATGACACGCTGGACATGCTTACAGGCGTAAAGTGGTTTAGTACGCTAGATCTGAAAAGTGGCTACTGGCAGGTTGAAATTGACCCTAAGGACAAGGAGAAAACTGCATTCTCCACAGGAAAGCGTCTGTGGCAATTCAAAGTCATGCCGTTTGGATTGTGCAATGCTCCAGCAACGTTTGAAAGGTTGATGGAGCTTGTACTTACCGGGCTAATTGGAGATGCTTGTCTGGTCTATTTGGATGACATCATCATCGTAGGCCGTACGTTTGAGGAGCACCTTCAAAACCTGGAACGCGTGCTCATGAAGATCCAGAGTGCCAACCTCAAGTTGAGTCCAAAGAAGTGCTCACTATTCAAACGACAAGTTAGTTTTTTGGGGTATGTAGTGTCGGAAGAAGGAATCCGCACGGATCCAGAGAAAATTGCTGCTGTCAAGGAGTGGCCGGTCCCAAAAGACAAGACACAGGTTAGAGCATTTTTGGGTTTGTGCTCTTATTATCGGCGATTTGTGAAGAACTTTGCAGATATAGCCAAACCTCTGCACAAGCTAACCGAGGAGAAGCGACATTTCTGCTGGGATGAAAGTTGCGATATTGCATTCCAGGAGCTCAAGAACCGTCTGTGCAAAACACCTATTTTAGGGTACCCTGATGCGGGCAAGGAATTCATAGTTGACACAGACGCAAGTGATATAGGACTTGGCGGAGTGTTGTCTCAACGGAATGGTGATCAAGAGATTGTGATAGCGTACTTCAGCAAGTCGTTGTCAAAGCCGGAAAGGAACTATTGTGTCACAAGACGGGAATTGCTTGCTGTGGTAAAGTCCTTGCAGCATTTTAGCAAATATCTTCTAGGGCGGAAATTCTACTTACGAACTGACCATGCTGCACTGAAATGGCTATTGCAGTTCAAAAATCCGGAAGGACAAGTTGCGAGGTGGATTGAACTACTACAGGAATACGACTTTGTGATCGAACATCGCAGCGGGAAATCTCATGGCAATGCAGATGCATTATCAAGAAGACCTTGCCCTGAAGATTGCAAGCATTGTACTAGGCAAGAGGGTAAAGAAGTGGTATCTGCGAGGATATTCAGGACAGACCAGCTCAGCAATGAATGGAAGGACAGCCTACAACATGCACAGCAGGAAGATTCGGACATTAAGCCGATTCTGGAATGGATGAAGGCCAGTGCTCCTAAGCCCAAGTGGAGCGACGTCTCAGCAATGAGTTCGACCACGAAAAGCTATTGGGCCCAATGGGACAGCTTGCTGATTCAGGATGGAGTCCTGTGCCGTAAATGGGAAAATAGTCGGGGAGACAGGTGTCATTTGCAAATGGTTGTCCCTAAGGCTAAAGTACCGGATGTTCTCCAGCTGTACCATAGTGGTTGTTCAGGAGGCCACCTGGGAGTTAAACGAACTCTACTGAAGATCCGAGAACGGTTTTACTGGGTCCACTGTCGTGACGATGTCGAGGACTGGTGCCGCAAATGTACAAGTTGTGCGGCTGTAAAGGGACCTCAAATTCGTAGTAGAGGCGCATTGAAATTGTACAATGTTGGTGCACCATGGGAGAGGATAGCCATTGACGTTGCAGGGCCGTTTCCGGAAAGTGAAAGTGGTAACAAGTATTTCATGGTTGTGATGGATTACTTTACTAAGTGGCCAGAAGTCTTCGCCATTCCAAATCAAGAAGCTTCAACAGTTGCAGATAAACTAGTTCATGAAGTCTTCTGTCGTTTTGGAGTACCTTTAGAGATTCACAGCGATCAAGGAAGGAATTTTGAGTCTCAAATATTCCAAGAAACTTGCCGAGTTATGGGTACTCAGAAAACACGAACAACTTCTTACCACCTGATGCCCCACGCAGTATAACCGATTATGCAAATGACTTGCGGAACAAAATGAATGACATTTATGAGCACGTCAGACAGACGGGCCAGCAAACGTCTGAGAAGATGAAAACACGGTATGACCGCAAAATGAACAACAAGGGCTTTGATGAAGGTTCACTAGTGTGGTTACACAATCCAGTTCGCAGCAAAGGGAAATCTCCTAAGCTTCAAACTAAATGGGACGGACCGTACCGGATTGTGACAAGGATCAATGATGTAACCTACCGGATACAGAAAGGTGCCAGAGGTACTCCTAAGATTGTCCATGTGGATCGACTGGCGCGTTATTATGGGGCCAATAATGCTCGGGACGAGCATGTCTTAGGAGGGGGCAGTGTTACGCGCCACTATTAATGTCTTGTACATGGCAACACTAGTTACACTAGCGCCCCCTAGTGTCGAGTAAATGAAAGTATTGCGCGCCACTATTAATGTCTTGTACATGGCAACACTAGTCACACTAGCGCCCTCTAGTGTCGAGTAGCAGAACTAGGAGAGTCGAGATCCTTCCAGAAATTTCGGGACCGATATGTACTCGAACATTCTAGATGTCGCTACAGTAGAAGGTTCTGGAAACTATCTGAGGCCCTATATAAGACCGGTATAGACCACGACCGGGGCAGTATTGAATTGGCGATACAAGAGACTACTTCGAAGCGAAATAACGGCGAACTGTGTTTTATTATTAGTGTGATTTTTGATTGTAATTAGTGTTGTGTAATTAAAGTGTCAATTTTGGTAATTCAGTCGGCAGTTTTTAATTGTCTCGAACCCGAAGCTCGTAACAATAAATAATTGATTATTTTAATGCTCAATGCAATTATTGTTGGAACACGAACACTAATAATTGGGAAATGAATGAAATATCATCTCGTAATGCACGATAAATTGCGGTTTTTATTCCATTCTATGATTTATCAGTTAACTGTTGCCTAAGCTTGTCTATTGTATACCTGATCATCATATATAGTACTTAACTTAGGTTTGTGCTCGTTATGGTAGTAATGGTGCGATTTAGGCTTCAGTTCATTTTGCTTTTGATGCGACAACAGTGCCGCCAAACACCAAATATAAATTTAATAGTGTGGGCAGACTGAGTCACACCTCCACTTACATATTTTATATTGTATGATTGTGAGTATAAAATATGTACTGTAATCATACTTTGGATGTAGCTTACGCTTAGAGCGTGTAGATACCCAACTATATGATTTAAGTGTTTAATGTGCTTTGCATCTAACTGCACTAGCACTTATTAGTTTGTGCACCTAACCCATTCATCTCAGTGAAAACAGTAAAATTTTCTTAAGTAGCGTTTATATATATGTATATCTGCACTCTGGGTGTATCATTGCCAAAACTGCAAAGATATTTAAGCGGATACTTGACCGCCAGCGTATTTCTGATCTTGTTATATGGGTTAAACAATGGATTTTAATAGGTAAAAGTGAAATATTAGTGAAAACGATGTTACAAGAGCTACATTGATATTTTTCTTTTCTAAGGGTTTTTCTGGTATGGAGCCATAAAATATCATCATCATCAAATATCCGGTGGTTGAGTTGTCCCAGGGATGTTGCAATTTCACCCATCAGCATATTGGAATTTTTTTTTAGCAAAATACTACTTGAAATTTGCTGCATGGTCTATGATCTTTGCCTTCACTAATTGGCGAATTGTAACAACAAAAAACGTCAACATAATATGTCAGTGTCATTTCAGTTTGAATGACGCATGTAGTTTCTTGTTTGTTCCACCTACGAAGGGAAATAAAAACGTTTTACTGTAATCCCCTAGTCTGTGTGTAAAAACTTTCTCCTACATAGATGAATGGATAAACATTATTCTGTAGTTGTATAAGTTATTAAAAGTTGCTCTTCGACTTACAGTGAATTGTTTTTAATTATTAATCTTGACGGGGGTCTACCTGTTGTTTTGTAATTAAAACCGGCTGTTCGAGGTATTTTATCCAGGTGCATTATGTATTTACTGTATGTTGTAGTTTGTTTAATGTTCAACTTATAAAAATTATATCATGCATTCAATTTTTGTTTGATATTCTAATTTGATGGCCGGTAAACAAATAGCTTCACCTTACGTTTAGTGTTGACTAATCATACATGCCTTATGATATAAATGTAATCCTTTTGACAAGATAACGTAAGATAATAATATGTCATTATGATATACTGAAACTGTCATTTATTGTAGAGTAATTGTTATAGCAATTTGTTGCTAAAATGGTGAGTTGTTTGTTTATTTTCCTGTTGGGGCAGTACACTAACATACATGAATATTTGAATTTAAGGATTTACTGTGATTTACCATTAGAGATAAATTTTTCGCGTCATTTCATATATAAACTGATTGATTATAACATGAATTAAATACTAATTTTATTTTATTTGTGTATTTCTTGATATATTTTAGTACACATATTTATGTTATTGGCAGTTGGTAGTGCTTGTAATAAATATTAGAAATCACTAGTGATCTGCCCTGGCTTCGCTTCGATTTCTGGATCTCTACAATAATGCCACCTACCGGGACTAATTGTGAATCTAAACTATGTCCTAATTAACTTAATCACACAAAATTTCATGAAAATCGGTCCAGCAATTTAGGTGGAGTTCAGTCACATACACTGGACAGAAGAATTATATAATATGCATCTATTATGCATATAAACCTTCCTCTTGAATTATTTTGTTTATTAATGAAAACCACATTAAAGTTTGTTGTGTAGTTTTAAAGATCTAAGCATACACAAGGGGGGAAGCGACTTTGTTTTATACTATGTAGAGATACTACTACTACTACTATATAGAAATACTACTTTGTTTTATACTATGGAGTTGAATTCTTTTCTTTGTAAGAAGTTGTCCAAATTCCGAAAAAAATTGTAATCTGTTGGAGCAAGGTCCGAGGAGTACGGTGGATGTCGCAGACATTCCAATTGTAGCTCATCTATATTAGTGGTTGTGTGTTGTGCAGTGTGTAATCTTGCGTTGTTGTGAAGCAGCAGTGGCCTAGAGTGATTGACCAATTTCGGTTGTTTAGCAGCTAGTTCTTCCTTCATGGTTTGCAGTTGCTGACAATAGATATCTGCCGTAATCGTTTGGCCAGATTTTAGAAAGCTGCAGTGAACGACACCGGCGCTAGTTGACCAAACACTCACAAATAACTTTCTCTGAGTCAATTTTCGTTTAGGGCAGGATTTGGCTGGGTCTCCAGGGCTCAGCCATTGCGACAAGCGCTTCCGATTATGGTACAGTATCCACTTTTCATCACAAGTAATGATTCGATTTAAAATCCCTTCATTATTGTGTCGGTTGACCAAAGTAACACAGCAGTCGTTCAAATGTTTGCAAGTTCGATTCACTCAATTCATGAGCTACTCATCATTCAAGTTTTTTTACTTTCCCGATTTGCTTCAAGTGGATTAATACAGTTTTATCACTTATCCCGAAGCCTGCAGCCATCTCTGAAGTACTTTGTGATGGATTTGCTTCCACAATAGCCTTTAATTCTTCATTTTCCACTTTTGTCTCTGGCCGTCCACGGGGTTGGTTCTGAAGGTCGAAATTTCCAGAACGAAAACGTTGAAACCAACAACGTACCGTGCTTTCTTTTGCGACACCAGCGCCGTACACATCATTAATCCTTCGAGCTGTTTCTGCAGCACTGGTGCCATGGTAGAACTCGTACTCGTAAATATACCGATATTTCATGTTTTCCATTGTGCGGTAATAAGCGACGCCAAAGAAAAAAATAATGAGGAAAAAACAAAGAATGACTGTTTTCAAAACTCAAATGTACCAGCTAGATTAATTTATAAATTTGAATTTGGAATTCTTAACCAAAGAGGAGATATTTCAGATCAAAGTGGTCAGTCAGTACGACAACACGCTAATTTCATATGTAAGGACCTAATATATTTTATAAATTGAATCATTTAAACCTAAATTTGGATTTGCTCTCCCTCCTTCATATCATGTAATTAAGAACATATACTTTGAATTGTCCCTAGGTATTTCTCGTATTATATATTCTCGATAATAACTTACTAATCACGATAATATGGTTTTTTTTATGCCACTACAAAAATAATAATATATAAATGAGTAATTAATACAAAATATAAATATTTTACTAGATGTGGAAAGCAGCAACAGATGTCACAGCACCAGCGCCAGACGAAGCTGATGACTGGGAGACAGATCCTGACTTTGTCAATGACGTCAGTGAGCATGAGCAACGTTGGGGACCTGGTGGCAGGAATGTCGAAGCCATTGAGTAAGTACAAATTACTGTTCCTAATAAGTATACAAAGCTGTTAGAGTTGAAGTAACTTAACTTTACAATTTTATTCAATATGTCTTTCAATTTTATGATAAACCTAACTCCTTAAGAATTTCTTCTGTATTGTGGAAGTGTGTTCAGATTATATGTACATATATTACAATTATCTATGGGGGTCAAGATAGCTAGAGTAAGAACCTGATAAGACATGCAGTAAATTAATGGTGGCTGGTGGCTTGGGATCTATTGAAAAAATATTTTGCTGAATATTCTGTGCGTTTTATGGCATTCCTTAACTTATGCTTAGCAGTGGACTTCTGAAAGGCTGTAATGTTGTTGTTGACGATGAATGAATTACTGACTCAACTCCACCAAGTGAAGTTTACCACAAAACTCCAGAAAGGCCGGCAACGCATCTGCAATTCCCCTGGTGTTGCGGTTGTTCATGGGCGGCGGTAGTCACTTACCATCAGGTGAGCCGCATGCTCGCTTGCCCCCGATCCTATAAAAAAAAATATATTAAATTTACCTCCTTTAAACTTTTAAAAAGCTTTATCAAACAAAGTTTGTATAAAAAGGGTTATTATAATCATAGATAAGGAATTTATGGGTGATAATAACCCCTTGGAATCAGGTGATCACTACCAAGCTATCTTTAATTTGTTTTGTGTTGTTAATTGTGTAACATATCTGATTGTGAACTGTTATTGTTTTCAAAGAAAAAAGTTCCGCTGTGTTTCTTGCTGGTTCTTCCCAGGACAGGTTTTTTGAGGAACCAGTGGTAAAATAAACAAAAAAGTGACTTTCAATAAGTATTATTTATAATCTTCTATATTGAATAAAAAAGTTTCTGTTTCTATTTCAATTGAACAAATTCCCAGACTAGGAACACAAGTTTGTAGGATCAGACAGGTATAGAAACTGTAACCTGTAGAGCCACAGTAAGCTAAGCTTCTTTACTACTGCGGCAATCTTTTAATTTAGCTTTAAAATTAAAATTTGGCAGGTATTCTTAATCTTAATCTAAAATGTTTTTTACCCCCGACGCAAAAAAGGGAAATTATAAGTTTGATCACTATGTGTCTCTGTGGCACCGTATCTCTTAAATGGTTGAACCGATTTGGGTGCTGCTTTTTTTGTTTGAAAGGCGACTTCATCGAGAGTGTTCTTAGTTATCATCAGCTCTTTTCTTTCGAGGGTTTTTAAAATTTTCACTTTAATTTTATTTACTAAAAGTGTAATCTGAATATACAGACACAATCTTGAGCTTAAACTCGATGGCATAATGACAAAATGTTTGCAACATCATGTCACAGGGTTAAACGTGCCTCAGTCTATAACTGCAGGTATTTAAATTAATACCTTTTGTAACTTTGTTTTATAACTTTCTCTACCAGTCAACCCCGTAAAAGATAGAGAAACAAAAGTTGGCAGGTGTTAAAAATAATCAAAACTAATATATAATATAACAAAAATATGTAAATAAATATCAAATATATACTAGCGTACATATAATATAGGTACATATATAAATATATAAAAAGAGACATCCATATTGGATATAATACAATATAAAATAAAAATCGGTTGTCTGTAGAATCGGTTTACAGACGATAGTTGAACGTGACAACGCCGATTGTGCCTCTGTCGCTCGTTCCGCGCTCTCGCTTGCACTTCAAGCCTTAAATGGAACGCCTCAGAGCGAGGTAACGCCGCATGAGTCACGTTTTTTCGTGCGTGCAGCCAGCTTCATCGAATTATAAGACGTTGTCACGTCAAAAATAAAAGTTCATCTCAAAACACTCCATGTATAGTGAAATTCGTACTGGCACATAGTATTATAACAACTTAAAAATTGATCAATAAATTTTTGCAATAAGGAAATTCTGAATGCTAATTCATGGCTTAGTTTGCTTGAAATCTTTATCATTGCCCTTCCCTTTGAACTCGTCTGAACTGTCTGTCATGTTTACATGCGGCCGCAAAGGAAGCGCGTGGGAGTGATTCATTTCAAAACAATATATTATGAATCATATGCTCCGTCTATTGTGAATGATGTATAAATGTGTGGTGTTATTGGATTTTATACCTTATATATGGTAACTTGAAATGCAGAATAATGATTTCTTAGTGTATATCGCACTATAAAATAATAATTAAAATCTATAGGTAGCCTGGGTAAACGATGATATCAGGACGTTAAACATCTCAAACCCCTGTGACCATGTGTGCTGTAAAGCACTCGAAAGGTCTGGAATATAGAAGTTTAATAATCGGATAAATCTGTTAAATTGTTTTAATCAATATGCAGAATGCTTAAAAATATCTAGCTAGTGTGCTTAGAGTAGCTGACTACTACAGCCAAATAACATGTCCTACGTTCGACTCCGGCAGCAATCACACACCACATCAACAAAGTGCAAAGACACAAGTTTGTTGATTTTCGGGTGTTGTGTTTTGTAGCCCTTTTACAAATTATTCTATTCTATTCTATTCTACGTGGGGAAATCCTCATGTCTATCCGGCTGTCCTAGGACGCTCTAGGAAGCAGGCAGGTTATATCGGACTATTATCGGCTAAAACTACTCGATGGTCCCACAGCGTCAACGAAGGATTGTCCCCGTATCACTGACACTGTACCCTAGGCCTTTTTTACGTGGGTAAATCCTCATGAATACTCGGTTGCCGCCGAGCGCGCCAGAGAGCTGGCAGGTTATGTTGCACTCTTATCGACTAAAACCACGCTGTGGTCCTTCAGTATCAACGAGGGGTTGACCTCGTATCACTGACACTGCACCCTAGACCTTTTTCACGTGGGGAAATCCTCATGGATACCCGTCTGTCCTGGAGCGCTGGCAGGTTATGTCGGACTCTTACCGACTAAAACCAAACAGTGGTCCTTCAGCGTGAACGATATGTGGTCCCCGTATCACTGACATTACACCTAGGCCTTTTTTGTGTGGGTAAATTGTCATGGATACCCACCTATCCTAGAGTGCGCTCGATGATGAATAAAAATCATTCTATTCTATACATTGTTTTTATAAATGTGTTTTTTTAGTTGATAGTATGGTATATTCCATTTAAAATTTTCTAAAAATATTTAATATACAGAAATCGCCCTCTTAGAGTTATATTATAGTATAGATTGAAATGAACTTATATTGTTATATTTTACAGTATGGCAAAGTTAAGGGAGGAGGTTCTGGAAGAAGACAAGTTGCTGAAGAAAAAAGAATATGAACAAGGACCTAAACCTTCTTTTGGGTAATAATTTATTATTTTAGTAGACTGAACTTTCAACAGGCAAATTAGTTTATAATGTAATGATTTCTTATATTTACGCGAACACTACACATTGAATAAAACTATTTTACGGATTCTATCGCGTTTAATTAACTTATTTTTATTAATTCCCGACGTTTCGGGCACTTTACAGCATTTTTCTACGTGGTAGAGCCATGCTGCAGCTATATTATGGTTGTAGCACGAATGGGTCGGCTCGAACGGGGAAGGACCACACTCTCACAGAAAACCAGCGTAAAATAGCAGCTTAACACTGCTGTGTTTCGTATGGTGAGTGTAGAGAACCGGAGACCCTTTTTACTGGTAAAGAGGCATTCCATCTTAGTCCTCACGGGTGACAACGTATCTGCATCTGCATCTTGAGTCTTTATTGAGGATAGATGTAGATGTCTATGGGTTACAGTAACTACTTACCATCAGGTGGACTGTGTGCTCGTTTGTCACCCGATCCTATAAAAAAAAACCCATGGTTACGGGGGACTGAGGTGTTTGACGCCTTGATGTCAGAGTTACCCGGAGTACCTTCATCTTTTTTAATTATTGATTTTGGTCCGATCTACGCAGAATGAACTTACTGTGTCTTGAAGTCTTGCAGTGGTATATTTGGGTTTAGTTTTAATTTTATTAATTACAGGATCCCAAGCAGGTGGTAGTACCCAGCCTTCCTCTCTATTGAAATTAGGATGTTTTTTTAATTTCAATAGCCTCACGTATCATCCTTGGCAGGAACCGATGTTCTTTCGCGAGAATTTGTGGTTTATCAAATCTAATGTAATGGCGGGGGCCGTCTAGGATATGATCACTAACTGCAAACTGCTTTATAATGTAAATTAATTTTAACAGAAAATTTACGCAGCTATATTATGGTTGCAACATGAATGGGTTGGCTGGACCGGAGAAGGCCCAAGCTCTCTCTGGTATTCTACCAGCGTGAAACAGCAGAATAATGCTGTGTTTCGTATGATGTGTATAGAGAACTGGAGACCCTTTTTACTGGTAACGAGGCATTCTATCTTAGTTGTAAGGGGTGACAATGCATCTTCATTTTGATTATAAATCGAGGATAGATTTAGATGTATATAAGTCGCAGTATCCACTTATCCTCAATTGGAGGGTGTGCTCGTTTGTCACCCTATTCTATAAAAAGTGTTTTGTTGAAATATGTACAATAATAATTAGATACACTTATGATATATTTGCCGTGTAGTGGCGGTCAAGAATATCCACTACCCCATATCCTCCCGTGGGTGTCGTAAAAGGCGACAAAGGGAAGCAGGCAGGAGATGGGCAGCAGCATCTTCCTGATAATAGCCAAAATTACAATAAAAAAACTGCGGTTGCCAACCCGCTCGCCAAGCGTGGCAACTATGGCAAATACCCCCCTATGAATGTAACAAAGAGACGGCCCCCAGTCCCCGGCGGCCCCGCTATTCCTGGCTACGGTGGCGACCATGGTAACGGCGGGGCAGGGGGTGCTAAGAATCTCCGGTGGAGGTTCGGTTGTCACCTTAGACGACTCGACCTGGCAACGTACAACGCACGCACCCTGAGGACTGACGAGAAGATCGTGGAGCTGGAAGAAGAGATAGACAAGTTGCGCTGGCATATTATAGGATTATCCGAAGTCCGAAGAGAGGGGGAGGACACGGTAATCCTCGAATCCGGCAACTTGCTCTATCACCGGGAGGGCGACCATCTGTCCCAAGAGGTGTCGGATTTATCGTCCACAAGTCTCTCGTTAACAACGTTGTAAAGATCGGGAGTGTGTCGACGAGGGTTGCGTACCTTATACTCAGAATCACCAAACGGTATTCGCTGAAGGTCATACAGGTTTACGCACCAACCTCGGCACACCCCGATGAGGAGGTGGAGGAAATGTATGAGGATATCTCTAGAGCCATGCATTCCTCCAAAACCCAATATACGGTGTTAATGGGAGACTTCAATGCAAAACTAGGCACAAGAGAGAACGGTGAGCTGAAAGTAGGGAAATTTGGAATAGGGCAACGGAACCCAAGGGGCCAGCAGCTGGCCGACTTCATGGAGAAAGAGGGACTCTTTATGATGAACTCTTTCTTCCAGAAGCGGCCCCACAGGAAGTGGACCTGGTCGAGCCCCGACGGTTCGACAAAAAATGAGATTGACTTCATTATGGCGACCAGAAGACAACTGTTCAGTGATGTCTCCGTGATCGCGAGGGTGAAAACTGGTAGCGATCACCGAATGGTTAGAGGCACACTGAACCTAAACGTTAAGTTGGAGAGGTCTCGTCTAATGAAGTCAACGCTCCGTCCCCCTCGTGCTCTGTTCCAAAGTCCCGAAACCTTTCAGCTCGAGTTACAAAACCGTTTTCAGTGCCTAGAAGACTGCAATGAAGTGGACGATATGAATGACAAGCTCGTGGAAACTGTCCATGCGGTCGGAGCTAAGTTCTGCAAGACCCGCCGCAGAAGAACACAAAAACTCTCCGATCACACTCTTAATCTCATGGCTGTTAGACGGGAGATGAAGCTACATTCTTCAACAGACTTGACAGCATACAGGCATCTGAACAGACAGATCTCCAAATGCATGCGGCGGGACTTACGCAACTTCAATACAGCTCGTATTGAAGAAGCGATCGAGCGGAACCAAGGCTCCAAAGTCTTTGCCAGAGATCTGTCTGCCAGAAAGAGCCACCTGTCGAAGCTGAAGACAGAATGTGGCAGCATCGTTTCCGGGACACCTGAGATTTTGAGTGAGATTGAGAGGTTCTATGGGCAGCTGTACACGTCATCGTTGGAGCCACACGCAAGTGTGAGTAACGATCCAAGAGCGAGTCTCATCCGACACTATTCCGAAGATATCCCGGACGTCAGTCTGAGCGAGATTAGAATGGCTCTCCAGCACCTTAAAAACGGTAAGGCCCCAGGCGAGGATGGAATTACAGCGGAGCTTCTGAAAGCGGGTGGAAGACCGGTACTTGAAGTCCTTCAGAAGCTCTTTAATTCCGTTCTCCATGGTGGCATTACACCGGAGGCGTGGAGCAGAAGTGCGGTGGTCTTGTTCTTCAAGAAAGGTGACAACGCTCTCTTGAAGAACTACAGACCGATTTCCCTTCTGAGCCGCGTCTACGTGCTGTTTTCGAGAGTCATTACGAATCGTCTCGCGCGCAGACTTGACGACTTCCAGCCTCCCGAACAAGCCGGTTTCCGAAAGGGCTTTAGCACCATAGACCACATACATACCCTTCGGCAAATTGTACAGAAGTCCGAAGAGTACAATTGCCACTATGTCTGGCGTATGTGGACTATGAGAAAGCCTTTGATTCCGTCGAAATTTGGGCAGTGCTGCAGTCCCTTCAGCGGTGCCAAGTTGACTGTCGGTATATCGAAGTGTTGAAGTGCTTGTACAGTAGGGCTACGATGGCTATCCGAGTACAGAACCAGAGTACGAAACCTATCCAATTGCAGAGAGGTGTAAGACAGGGTGACGTCATATCCCCGAAACTCTTCACCGCTGCATTGGAAGACGTTTTCAAGCTTCTGGACTGGAAAGGATACGGTATCAACATCAATGGCGAGTACATCACTCACCTTCGATTTGCCGACGATATAGTCCTTATGGCAGAATCGCTGGAGGACCTAAGCACTATGCTCAATGACCTCGATAGTGTTTCCCAACGGATAGGTCTTAAGATGAACATGGACAAAACAAAGATCATGTTTAATGTCCATGTCACACCTATGCCGGTAGTTGTTGGGAGCACTAAGCTCGAAGTTGTTGACGAGTATGTTTACCTGGGACAAATAGTCCGACTAGGTAAGTCCAACTTCGACCGAGAGGTCAATCGACGGATTCAACTCGGCTGGGCAGCGTTCAGGAAGCTACGACACATCTTCTCGTCAGACATACCTCAAAACCTGAAAACGAAATTGTACAACCAGTGCGTGTTGCCAGTGATGACTTACGGAACTGAGACGTGGTCCTTCACTGCTGGCCGTATGAGGAAGCTCAAGGTCGCTCAGCGAGCTATGGAGAGGGCTATGCTCGGAGTTTCTCTGCGTGATAAACTTAGGAATGAGGATATCCACAGTAGAACCAGAGTAACCAACATAGCCCAACTGATTAGTAAGCTGAAGTGGCAGTGGGCCGGCCATATAGCTCGAAGAACCGACAACCGATGGGGAAGAAAGGTTCTCGAGTGGCAGCCTCGTACCGGTAGGCGAAGTGTAGGGCGTCCCCCCACGAGATGGAGTGACGACCTGGTAAGACATGCAGGAAGTCGATGGATGCAGGTGGCTCAGGACCGTGCTTTGTGGCATTCTTTGGGGGAGGCCTATGTTCAGCAGTGGACTTGTGAAGGGCTGTAATGATGATGATGATGATGATGATGATGATATATTTTCCTATTAGTTGTAATTTTTAAACATCATATTCAATGAAAATTTAAATAATTTGTACGCCGAGTAGTTGTGCCGTAAGGAATGTACTGCCCAATATCATCTTGTGGGTTTCGTAAGTGTCGACAGAAGGAAACTTAAACAGAAGAAGGGCAACAGCATCTTCCTTATACAATTCAAATAAAAATACTGCCGGTGCCAACTCACTTGCCAAGCGTTATAAGTATAGCTTGCCTAATGCCATCTATGGGGGACCTTTTTCAGTTGACGTTACACTGTAATGTTTATGATGATGATGATGATGTACTTATATTATGAAGCAATATTTTTAATAATTCTCCAACTTACATACAACATACACATGTACATGTGTGGTGTTATTGGATTTTATACCTCATATATGGTAACTTGAAATGCAGAATAATGATTTCTTAGTGTATATCGCACTATAAAATAATAATTAAAACTAATAATAATTAAAATTAAACGTAGCTTTCAAAGACAAACTTATTTGTTAACTGCAATTACTTGAATTGAAATTTTTCGTGGTAGAGCCACGCAGCAACTATAAAGGGTTATTTTGCAATAACCGGTCAAATTTGCAGAGAAGGTTCAAAATAAGTAATATAGGCAAATAGTGAAGAAAAATATAATTAAAAAAAAAGAAACATTCTGTCCTATGCATTATTTTAACTGATTGTCATACATTAATATCTAACGCCTACTATTTTACTACGCACGCACACATTCGTAAGGGTCGATCAAAAAAGAGGACGTACTCAATTCGACTGTTTTTATGTGCGTTACCTCATAACTTTTTTCTGGTTGAACCGATTTTGATGATTCTTTTTTTATTTGAACGCTGGGGATTCTCGTGTAGTCCCATATACATTTGATCAAGCTCTGACCGATAGTTTTTGAGTTATTCTTAACAATTTATATTGAAATCAGTTGTACAAAATTTTAAATTATTGCTTGTAACGAAGCATTCCATCTTAGTCAACGCATCTGCATTTTGATTATCTTAATCAATGATAGATATAGAAGTCTATAGGTCACAGCATTCACTTATTATCAGGGTGGAGTGTTCATTAGTCACTTTTTTCCTATAAACATATTCTGTAATACCCATATTTGTAAAATAACAAAATATTATTACTTTAAATTAAACAATATCAATAAATATTGATTTAATAATAATATCAATGTAATGTCTGCACCGCTGACGCTGCCCCAATGTGTGTTGGTGAATTTCGTATGTCTTCGAAATATGTTTTTTCTTATTTCTCAGACATGCAGGTTTCCTCACGATGTTTACTCCGCCGAGCACGTGTCAAATAAGCACTTAAAATTGCAATTAACAATTTCATTGGTGCCGGCGGAGATCGAACCTAGGTTGCTCGAGTACTGTGAAATTTACAGCGAGCGCTGAGTCCCTGAGTTACCACGGCTCTATCTATCTAAGCTCATCTCTAACTGTGGACTATTTAAGTGCTGATAAAAGAGTAGAGTGAGAGGTTGTATAAGATTTGTCTGTTTTAAGTTACGGTGGAAAATTTGGCGTACAACAAGACCGCATGGACAAGTCAGCAGTGGGCCACGATTATGTCGGCAAAACTGAGAAACACGTGTCACAAAAGGATTATGCTCAAGGTATGTTTCTAGTAGGTTAAGTAATATCGCCGTGCGGTGGCGACGTGAGAGTATTACCACATGAGTAAAGAAACCGACCAGAGGGGAAGCTACATACAAAGGTCTCGCTGCGAATACACCCATACATAGCGCAGCGATGTGTGCGTGAGCTCTCACCGACAGCTTCACCGACGCTCCGTTGGGGTACAAACATGAAAGGGCTTCTTGCGCATTTTAATAAATAGACCAATAATATTTTGACATTTTATACATCGATTAATTTATTAAGTTGTTGATTTATGTATTTTAATTAAAATAATTAAGAATTAAGTTATTATAAATTTATATAGGTAAATAATAAGTGTTTTGTATAAGCAAAAATGCCTAATAGTTGTATAGTATGCATGAATAATTCTAGAGAAAGTAAGGATATATCCTTTTTTTGTATCCGAGAGATCAAGTGAAGTACCTTTTTACGTATTATATGCACTATATTATATTTTAACTTTTTCCATATTGTTTAAAATTAATCGATACGGAACAGCTCTTGATTTTGGACAATTAATAGATATTATGTTGTTACATTATGTAATATAAGTTATAATTAATAGGCATGTTGTTTTATACACTATAATACTTAAAATTTTTCCTTATTGTTTAAAATTAATAGATACAAAACAGCTCTTGATTCGAATAATTAATAGATATGTTGGTACATTATTATAAGTTATAATTAATACACATGTTGTCTTATGCTATACAATATTTTTATTTTTTCCTTAAATTTTTCAAATGCATCATGTGACAACCCTATCAGAATAGGTATACATTTTCGACGTTGTTAAGAAGCTTCCCCTCTGGTCCTTACTCTTTACTCTGTGGTATTACTACCCTATGTCACCCCGTGGGTGTCGTCAGGGGCGATAGAGGAAAATGAAACGGGAGATGGGTAGCAGCAGCATCTTTGTGATAACAAATCTATACAAATAAATACAATTGAAGTGTCTGTTTGTAATGTCAAAATAACAGCTTTTTACTAATTGCATACGAAAGTATATACGGTACTTATTACCAAAAACACAATTTTTAAAATTTTTGTCTGTCTGTCTGTTTGTTCCGGGTAATCTCCGAGACGGCTGGACCGATTTTGACGGGACTTTCACTGTTACAAGGAGTAACTTAGGCTACTTATATTTTTAAAAAATAATTAGGGTTCCGCGCAACAAAACTAAAACCCTAAATTACACGCAGGTGAAGTCACAATAATAAAATTCGTTGCAGACTGGCATACCAAGCGTGGCAAATATGACAACATTTTGATGATTCTTTTTTTTTTTACTAAATATTTCATACTTCAGATGTGGTAGTAAAGAGCATGCAACTTCTTTTTATATGCCCTATAAAATATTAATACTTTTTAATGTGGTAGACAGATATACATATACATCATAAATTTAGTTTGTTGAATTGCTTGCGCAAAAATTTCGCCAATATTTTGTTTTCGAAATAATCATTGATAATATTGATAATGATATATTTAAACGTGTACACGCTTGTATATAGTGTTTTTTTTATAGAATAAGGGTGACAAACGAGCACACAGTCCACCTGATGGTAAGTGGTTGCTGTGGCCCATAGACATCTACATCTATCCTCAATAAAGACTCAAGATGCAGATGCGTTGTCACCCGTGAGGACTAAGATGGACTGCCTCTTTTCCAGTAAAATGGGTCTCCGGTTCTCTACACTCACCGTACGAAACACAGCAGCATTAAGCTGCTATTTTTCGCTGGTATTCTGTGTCTTCCTAATAACGAATAAAAAAAAAACTGCGTTTGCCAACCCGCTTGCCAGGCGTGGCAACTATCGCAAATATGAGCCAATCTATGGAGTCCTATGTTCAGTAGTGGATTTTAATATGCTGTAACGATAACATTTATTGTTCCCTGTTTAAGGTTTTGGAGGTAAATTTGGCGTGCAAGCCGATAGGATGGACAAGTCGGCCGTGGGCCACGACTACGTGGCCAAGGTTGAGAAGCACGTGTCGCAGACTGACTACGCACAGGGCTTCGGAGGGAAATTCGGCGTGCAGACCGACAGGGTGGATAAGGTGAGCAGTTATTTTTAACTAAATGGTAGGGTTCCTCTTTGTCTGATAGTCTTGGGTATCACCCATTTAATATTTCTATCATTTAACAGAAAATTTTTCTAAGTTTTAATACAATTTTATTATTTCAGCTTCGGCACAGAGAAAATCCTAAAAATAACCGTCCCCTTTTAGTATTTTCAGCCTTAAGTAAAATATTGCAAAGAATCATTTTAAAACAGAGGCGTGTTAATTTTAATAAAAATAAAATCCTAAATGCTTTCATAAAACGAATTTCCCAACGAATGCGGGTATAAAACTAGTATCACATCATGTTATACAGGCCTGGTAACAACACTATGGTACCTAATCTAAGTCATACTAACAACTTATGGATCTTTGACATCTGAAATAAAGAATTATTATTATTATATTATATACTAGCTGTTTCTCGCGACTTCGCTCGCGTGTTAGGGTTTTTATGTTTTTGCGCGGAACCCTAATTCTTTTTCAAAAATAAAAGTAGCCTAACTTACTCCTTATAAAATCAGCTATCTGCCAGTGAAAGTCCCGTCAAAATCGGTCCAGCCGTTTCGGAGATTAGCCGGAACAAACAGACAGACAGACAGACAGACAGACAGACAGACAGACAGACAAAAATTTTAAAAATTGTATTTCAGTTATGAGTACCGTATTTACTTTCATATGCATTTAGTAAAAAACTGTAATTTTGACATTACAAACAGACACTTCAATTTTATTTATTTGTATAGATTATTATTAAATATGAAATTTGGCTACTCTTTGAAAAATTACCCAGTATATAGTCTGTTAGATACGGTGGCTTTTGTATCGCACCGCGTTGGTAAGTGCCGCATTTTGTCAAAGAATCCGCCGCGACATCAAAGATTGCCGCGTGCGGCTTACACTTTAAAATTCAGCATTTTAAAACGAAGCGCCGTAGTGAAAGGTTCTTTGCTACCTAATTTGTTTTTATTATTTATATTCATATTTTATGACATACATAAGGATGAATAGAATTAGAATAAAAAAATATTTAACAAACAGTAAAAAATAATAAAATAAAAGTAAAATAATAAGTGCGCCTCCATGTGTACCGACACTATGTTAGCGAACAGACTATACGACTTATACTTGTAAGAAGACTAATACTTTTACACTTTGTATGCAATTTTTTTTTTGAAAAATACTTACTGAAATTATAAATTTATTTAATAAAATACGGGACTGTCTCCTATAGAACGGGTCGAGGTGGCACGCTAGTGGTACCTTAATTTCAATTAGCAAAACCTAGACCATATTTTTAGGGTAACTTAGGATACTTATTGTTTAGGCCAAATAATTAATATTGTGATAGTGTCTTGACAGCCGCGGCCTTGTCGACTAGTATTGTCTGCGACCGCTGAGTTGGTTGCGCGCGGCCGGTGTTGATTTAGACGGTCTAAATTTTGAGTTAGTTGGGCGCGGCTGGTGTCCAGAATTGTGCGCGTCGTTTTGAATTTACTATTGAATATTCGGGCCTCGTTGAGACCGCCTCGAATGGAGTTGTCTGTTTTGAGCGTTACGTGACAAGAGGCTTAATTTGAGTTTTGAGTGATTAAATTAACAGATTGCCATTAATTTGCGCCGACGAGTTGTTGTTTGTGTGGCTTTTAATATCGTACGAAGGAATTTTGCTTTGTCGGGAGAACGCTAAAGCTTTGTGACTCGAGAGGAGATCGTGTGTGCTCGATTATAATTTGTTGCTAAGTGAACATGGAACGTTGAACTTTGACCGACCGTTCTTTAGTTGTGCCGTGTGTCACTTGTTTGGTTTCGATTAACGTGGATTTAGTTAAATTTGAAGTTAATTGAATGTACAATAAAGTTGATAAACTAATATAGTGAAATAATAGCAGAAGTTTTCAATTGGTGAACGCCCACTGGAGGGATCGCACATTTGGAGAAAAGCAGCGCCTGTAGATCTGCGGTCCGACTACATCGGGGATGTCAGGTTACACTTACACACTACTACATTTACACTTACATACCACCCACTTGCCCCTGACGGCGCCTTGTGGTCGACCCTACCTCCGGAACCCGGTAAGTTTGTGCTTGCTTATCAGCTAGAAGTTAATTATCCATAGGCCATTTGGGCCCCGCCCTCTGTTGCCCGTCGAAGGTGTTACTCATGGGCCCTAATACAGTCGACTTTTGTCGGGGCAACTAAGGGCGTGAACATTTCTGGTAGCAGAGCGTGGTTGATTGTCTCTCCAATCACGTCCGCCCGTAATAAAAAATAAATATTTTTTGTGTTTTGTTAGCGGATCGGTGGGTTGAATTAGGAACCACGCCCGTTAGGCTGCACAAGCGGAGTGTAGTTTAGGGTTAGGTACCCACGCGTCAGGTATTTCGGGTAGGTAGATGAATTATCGTTATCATATAATCGTATAATTATCGTTATCTTATAATTATAGTAGATATTAATTGCCGAAGGGTCGATCGCCTGAGCGAGGCATCTTTGTTGACCGAATGTAGTGTGTACTTGTATTTGTAGTGTAATTTGTATTTAATTTAATAAATAGTAATTTGTATTTGTAGTAATTTGTATTGAATTTAATTTGATATTAACTTGTATTTAGTAGTGATGCCATCGCACAAGCTACCGGCGTATCGCCTGCAGGCGGTACTGCGCTGGGCCGTGAACGCCCATACCTTGATAGGGCGACCTGATCGGGTCCATAGTTTAGGGAAGCGGCTCGAGCAAGTCGTGGCCCGAAGGGCCGTAGTGGAGGAGGCTTGCACAGAGCTTTTGGCCTCGGATGCGGAACAGGGAGTCCTAGACTCCTGCCTCGCGGACTACGAGCTATTCTTTTCGCTCACGGACGATTTGATGGAGGCGGGGGCCAAGTATGATAAGGAAGCGCGGGAAGCTCGGCTGAGTGGCCTGGCCGAGTCCCCTCGGAAGCACGGAGCTGTTGGGACGACTCTCAACTCTGGACCTGTCAAGGTTCTCCGGGGTCCTCTCCGACTGGCTGACCTTTGTTGGACTTTTTCATAGCCTAGTGGACGCCCGGAGGGACTTGACACCAAGCCAGAAGATGGCGTACCTCCTGGCCTCACTGGGAGGGGGAAGCCCTGAGCGTCGTCGGCCATTTGAAATTGTCGGACGACGCCTACCAGAATGCCCGGGACCTCCTCGCAGGAAGGTATGCCAACGTTCGGCGAATTGCGGATGAATACGTTAGGCAGCTCCTAAACCTCCCGCTGCTTAGGGACCGGGCCAGACTACGTCATCGTAAATCCAGTCTTGGTAGCCTGTAATTCGTTGAGGCGGCTGGATTTACCGGTGGATGAATGGTCCTTCTTGTTGCTCCACATCGTGCTGTCCCGCCTGCCTCTCGACCTTCGGATACATTTTGAGGAGAGGTACGGCGGGGACGGCGCCTCCCATATTCCGCCTTTCAGTGATCTGCTGCGGTTCTTGGAGGAGCATTGCCGGCAAATTGAGAACGCGGCGGGCACCGTCGACGATTTACGGGGTACCAACCGAGCCGTGCCCAGTGAGAGGCGAAATCCGCCGGGCAAGTTGTCGTCAACTAACTAAGGCCGATCGGAGCTCCTGCGAGAGGGCGCCGCTCCCTACCATCTTACAGTGGCCTAGCGGCCAGGGAGGCGCCCCCATGCTCCTATTGTCGAGCATCCGATCACAGGGTGACGTCGTACCACCGTGAAGTTGTTGGGTAAGCCGGTCCCGGTGAGGCGAACTATCGCCAAGGAGCGCCGCTGGTTCTTGGAAAGGCACCTCCAACGAGACTGCCCGCACCACCGGCCCTGTCCGCACTGCCAGGGCAATCATCATGCCGTCTTGTGCCTGGGTGCGAACGACGCTTCCTCTCGGGGCTCTGCCGGGCCCTCAACTCGCACGGGTGGGGGCGCTCAGCCTCAGCAGTAAGTTAGACCCTTCTCACCCCCGTTAGCTGAGTGGCCGCGACTGGGGTACCAACGTCCCCCCTTTGATCGGTACCGGTACTACGGGGTTCCAGCGACCTCGAATCTGCCCCGGGCCTCAAGGCCGAGGTTCCCCAAAGCTCCCCCGGCCGGCCCATTTGGTGATTTCCCACCACGGGTCATTGAAATGCCGCCGGAATGTCGCTTTCGGAACCCCTGGTTCAAGTGCCGGTCCGATGGAGGCAGCTCCAACTAGGTAGCTGCCGCTCTAGCTCCCACCACAGCCGCCTCCACTGATCCTTTGAGCCGTCAACAGTCCACTTGTCAAACTGTTCTATTGCCGACGGCCTCAGTGAAGGCGTACCACCCGCGTGGCGACTGTTTAACGGTTTGCGCTCTATTGGATTCGGGTTCACAACGCTGTGTGGCCTCCACTTGGTTGGTGGGAAGACTAGGGCTCCCCTGGAGCGTTGAATCACGCTGTCAAAGAGATTTGGTTTGGTCGAGCACTTAATTATTAAGAAAAATGCTTTGGTTTTTCCGCGAAATGTTTTGTAGTTATAGTGGTTGTGAGTAAAAAGGTGAATTTAACATACTCTTTGAATACGAGTACATATGTTTTTAAATATATTTAATCATTATGTTTGCTTTGTTGAGGGGAAATTGAAATTGAGTAACACTGTTTGTGCCGAAAGAAATAAAAATCTATCCTCTTTTTTTTTCACATTTTTTTATCGTTGTCGAAGATATTTATTTTGGAAAAAAAATATGGCTATCTCTTATCGTTTTGCTTGATTTATCTGAGCGTGAACACTTATATTTTCGAAAATAATCAGGGTTCCGCCGTTTAAAAAATTTAAAACCCATGAAATCGTACTAAATTCCACGCGGGCGAACTCGCGTTGGGCAGGTAGTCTAACATAAACTTTGAAAACGTAAGGAAATTCTTTCAGAAAGATCTATTAAATTGATTATCAAATTGACAATGATGTGTTGAAATATCTCCTTATCTATTATGCTGGGGCCACAGTAACGAGAAACGTCAATGCCCATAAACGCAACATTTATTGCCTTAATTTTAACGCGATAATGTGAGTGGCCACACGCAACGCTCAAGGCCATTTCAATTTCAATTCCTTGAATATATTTTATTATATGAATATATTTTATTATATATAAATTGTTATTATATTAATATATTTTATCATATTATATTTTTTTATATTTATTTAAATGGGTTCTATAATAATTCATTATTAGGCTTTCCTTCTTTTTAATTTCTTCAATAATTGTTTTAAAGGTAATTATTGCATTATTCATCGCCAAGCATTATTTTGCGATGTACGATTCTTAAAACTTTTGAGTCTGGGATTCCACAAACATAGCTACGCTCACCGTGCACAATGAGGCAAATGTAGTGTGGCCGCTTCAACGCGTTAATTCGTGCGTTAATCTCTTTGATGTACCGCCACTCGAGTTATCGTCCAACGACAAACGGCATTGTTCATGCCGTTGAAAAATTATCGCGTTAAGTGGTGGCCACACCTACATTCAACTCCCATCAACGCAATAATTAACGGCATTTCTCTTTAGTGTAGCCCGGGCATATTATTGTTAAAACTGACATTTTTAAATATGGAGGAACTAAATTCCTTTTTCCAAAGGTTGCTGGTTCATATCCGGTTCGAAGGACTAGTATGTTTTGTTCTTAATGTTGTAGGACGAGATAAATGACTCTAATTTTATGTAACTGTTATAATTGACCTAAAAAGCACATGTACAAATTAAAAACGATAGTAATTGAATCAAGATGAAGATTGTTAGCTAATCCGCCTTTTGACTCAAAGCGAGGCGCGTTTAGCCACCAACAGATCGGTTTTTTAGTGATTTTATCAATAAAACTGGGGAACTTTTTTGCCGGTTATTTTTCGAACCGGTTTAGTTTGACGATCATAAGTTTTCAGAATCTTTATTATCATTAGGCTGTATAATGGATTTTGAACATTTGTTTGTGGCATTCCTTGGAGGAGCATTCCTTGAGGGAGGCCCAAATAATGTCATAAAACACGGCGCTGAGCTAACTGCATTTATCGAATTCCTGCATTTCTTACTAGGTCGTCGCTCCATCATCCATAAATATTAGATTAAATAAATGATGTGAATTTGAAAAGTGCTAATCGAACGTAACTTGACCGTCAAATTTCTTGCCGCCTATATATTCCGTTAATGCCTTACTGATTTCTTTGCAATGACTTTCAGATTATTTTATGATTTTTGTTGATTTCTTTGCAATTCTTGTTTCATTTGCCCATATTGGCCGTTGATTATTCACAAAAATGTGTCGATTGGCAGAGTGCGGCTGGATGGGAGCACCGCGAGGAGGTGGCGAAGCATCCGTCACAGCGGGACTACGCGATCGGCTTCGGCGGCAAGTTCGGTGTGCAGGACGACCGGCGCGACGCGGCCGCGCTGGGCTGGGACCACCACGAGACCACGCAGCACCACCACTCGCAGACCGGTGTGTATAATCACATACACACACACACACACCCTCACACACACACGCAAACACACACCCGTACACACACACACACACACACACACTCACACACTCACATACTCACATACACACACTCACACACTCACTCACTCTATATGATAAAATACGATAAAAACATATTGAATTTGTGAACCAGTATTTTCTTTTGTTTTTACATTATACACTTTTCTTAATACACCCGTTATCCGCAGATTACGCCATAGGTTTCGGTGGCAAATTCGGTGTACAGACGGACAGACAGGACGCGTCCGCTGTGGGCTGGGACCACGTGGAGAAAACTCCAGCACACGCCAGCCAGGTCGACCATAAGAAGGTAAATTTGTCATATTTTTGTTATAGAATAAGGGTAACAACCGGCACACAGTCCACCTGATGGTAAGTAGATGCTCGATTAAGAATCATAATGCAGACTAAGATGGTATGCCTCGTAACCTTACTAGTAGGGTCTCCGGTTCTCTACACTCACCATACTAAACACAGCAACACAAAATAACTATTTTACGCTGGTATTCTGTGAGAGCGTGGTCCTTCACCGTTCGAGCCGACCCTTTCATGCTGCAACCATAATATAGCTGCAGCGTAGCCTTATCACGTAATGAAATATGATTGGCTATTTGACACTAGTCAATTGAAATATTTCTTAAGACGTTTTGACCGGCACACAGAAGAGCGTTCACAAGTCTATTCCGGTCAGAAAGGTATAGCCAGTAAAAAGGCTGTCATTCCATCTTAGTCCTCAGAGGTGACAATACTTCTGTATCCTTCTTTGTTTGAAGTTCGCTGCTGGTGTCCGTGGACCACTTACCATCAGTCAGGTGAACTGTTAGCTCTTTTGACACTTAATTTTTTTTAAATGACGTCATTAACTGGTATTCTCATAAAATTACAAGTAAATGTTTTTATAGATTCTAAAGAAATATTTTCATTTAATGTTTGTTGCCAGGGTTTCGGTGGTAAGTTCGGCGTTGAATCGGACAGGGTGGACAAATCGGCGCACAGGTTCGACGAGGTGGAGAAGGTGGGCACAAACTACACGAAGCAAAAGCCGGATATAGGGGGCGCGAAGCCGTCTTCCATACGTGCCAAGTTCGAAAACATGGCTAAAGAGAAGGAACAGGTGATTGGTTCTTACGATGATACTTCTATTTACTATCTATTGTGAAACATATTGTGGATACCTTAAGTTGGTTTTAGATTTCAAATTAAGTTTATGTATATTTGTGGCGGTGTAAGAATATCCACTACCCCATATGAGGCAATTATGGCAAATGTTCAGCAGTGGACTTTAATAGGCTGTAACGGTAACGGTCCTTAAATAAAGAAATAAATCTATTAGGATACCTTGCCCTGAAAAAATAATGATGTATTGATTAATTACTTCAAAAAAGAGTAAGTGACAGCTTAAATGTATCCCATTTCCAAGGACGGATCTGGTAAAATTCTGGAGCAGGGAAGAATCTATAAAATAGATTAGATTTTTTTTTAAATTTACAAGAATACATATTGAAAGTCAATTTATGCTTTTACCACTGGTTAGAAAAAAACTTCTGCCCTGGAAAGAACCCACAACATACCCAGCGGATTTATTTTTTTAAACAATAATTTACAATATAATATGGTATGTCATTGTGTTGTCCCAATGCGGGCCAAACACGCATATGTTACAAACGATCGGCAACTGTTGGCTAGTGTGTGCACTAGCAACGCAACCCGACTAAACTCATGCCATCACATCACGGATATTACAAGTTTTTTATATGATCAGGATGACAAACAAACACACAGTCCACCTGATATTAAGTGGTTGCTGTGGCCCATATACATCTACATCAATCCTCGATTAAGAATCAAAATGCAGATGCGTTGTCATCCCTCAGGACTAAGATGGTATGCCTCGTTTCCAGTAAAAAAAGTCTCCGGTTCTCTACACTCACCATATAAAACACATCAGCGTTAGAGACACCGCACACTGCAGACTTTCTATCGGGCAAGAGTTTAGTCGGTTTCTTAATCAGTATTAAGATGTATGCCAGTGCGCATACTATAACGATTATTTAACGATAGTTTGATGGGCTACACGATTCCCTTCAAACTAAACTGTTGGTCAACTATCGGCCAACGGCTAAATCACTATGCCGCTTCTCGCTTCAGCTCTTCGACACGCTGATTATTCAGTCGGCCGACTCGATCGATAACGTCACTTCGCACAAAATTGCAAGCATCTAAATGGCGCTTTTTGTCTAATCATCTATTTTACAGTGGGTACAGGAAGTTGAAAAACGACTCGCGATTTATAAGAAACAGATTTATACAAAATCGGCCAACTGTTGGTTAGTGTGCGCACTCGCCACTAACCCGATTGTTTAATCGGCCCAGTGAGCGCACTAGCCACCCAACCCGACTAAACTTTCGCCCGATAGAAAGTCTGCAGTGTGCGGTATCTCTAAAGCTGCTATTTTACGTTGGTATTCTGTGAGGGTATGGTCCTTCCATTGTCAAGCCGATCCCTTCGTGTTACAAATATATAATAACATGGCTCTACCGTGTTAAAAAGTCTTTTCTTTAACAAATCTTTGAAATATTTTAAATTTCCGAGCTCGAAGTAAAAATCGACCCTTAAAACTGCGAGTAATAAATTCATATAAATTCATTGATAACGACATGTATCAATCTAAAGATAATATTTCAATCTAAATGTATAAATTGGAAATTCTCAGTTTTCTTTTATATTTATGTATTTATTTTATTTTATTTTAATAAACACAGGAGGCGATGCAGCATGTGCAGAAAATTAGGCAAGAGAGACTAATGATGGACAAGGAACTGTCGCAAAAGGTACGTATAACATAAGTTAAAATAAATAATTGGTTAAAACTACGGAGCAAATACAAAGAGAAGGTGTTTTAATTAGATTTCACTATGTAACAACGCGTGACAATTTGCGGGGTGAGGCTGTGTTAAGCCCCACTCACTTAATCCATCTACCGATAAATAGTAAAACTATTTGCATCGTTCCATTTCGATGTTGCAATGTATTTAGTTACCTTAACGACAGATGGCGGCCTGTTTACAAAATGATTATAAAAACTATAAAAATAATATTTTGGCGATTAAAAATTCTTTAGGACTGAATGCAGCACAAATTTCAGCATCTTCGTATGATTATTTTACCAATACTGAGCTCTACGTACCTTTATATTTTTAGTTCTCATGACACAAAGTGTTGCCATTTAGTGTCACATATATTTAATTTGAAAGCCGACGCAAAGATTGTTCTAGAAGAATTTTTAATAAATTAGGTATAAAATTATTTACAAATGATATATGACGCCATCCATAGCATCAGAGCGTCTATATGAGTAGTTTTTACACGATAAAACACAACAATTCGTCCTTTTGTTTTTAATACTACGAAAATACACCTATTTGCAATTCTCGACACATAAGCGCACAGGACGAATGCTGACTGTACACTAACTAAAGCCACGCCCACTGTGATATCGTCAGAACCTAGTTAGAATCACAGTGCACAGTTGCTTAGACCGTCTCTTCTTTGAATTTGCTCCGTGGTTAAAACTGCGAATGAAATGGAGAAAGGCGTCTAAATGTATATTATTTTAATAGGAAAAAGAAAAATCAGCTAAAGAAATAGATGAAGTCCCACAAAAAGAGTCGGAGCAAAAACAAGTCGTTCAGAAACAACCCGAAGCGGCAGTGAAAGCAGTCAAACAAACAGAAGAACAGACAAGCAAAAAAATAGAAAAGGCTGATGTAGTTATAGAAAACCCTCCAAGTAGTCAGGAGGCTGAAGTGAAACCCAACTTGCCCGATGTAACTCTAGTCGGTGAGCCTAAAGAAGACAAAGATGAAGTGAGTGAGATTGTTTTTATACATTGTGATGTTATAACTATAAAAGTATTACGACTATACGAAAAATTTGTCCCATGTTGGTCTTGGGTCTCATAGGTCCCAGGTTCATGTGAGTTAAAACAAAAAACCAAATTACCAACTGTCTACCACGTCGTGAAAGGTGACTAATGGGATATTGGGATGAGATTGACGAATGGCCACCACTTTTTCCACAATTTTCCATCTAAAGTCAAAGGTTTTTGGTTAAACATAGTCTGAGTAGCTCGGTGTTCTTTGGACTCTGCTTACCACCGCGGGGATTACGGGCGTAATGCTATGTGTATGATAGGAATATGGTTGACTCGAGCGGAGAAGGACTACGCTCTCGCAGAATACCAGCGTAAAATAGCAGCTTAATACTGCTGTCTTTCATATGGTGAGTGTAGAGAACCGGAGACAATTTTTACTGAAAACGAGGCATTTTTAGTCCTCAGGGGCGACAATGCACCCACCATATGAATCGTTTACGTTACATCAGCTCGTAGAAGTTCTATTGCTGAACATGTAGACTTTAGTGCACTTCTGCCAATGTTAAGTCATGGCTGTTGTAATAATCTCTTGCCAGTACTCAAAGCTTGAAGTACACACAAGTCAGGTTCCATCTAGTTGCTTTAGCGATATTTGTACTTAATGATTTCTTATATTTACGCGAACACTACACATTTAAATAAAACTAATTTTACGGATTTTATCGCGTATATTAACTTATTTTACTTTCCCGACGTTTCGAGCACTTTACAGCACCCATGGTCACGGGGGGGACTGAGGTGTATGACGTCCCAATGTCATAGTTAACCACGGCTACCTCCAGATTAAAAATTATTAATTTTTGTTCCGATCTACGCAGTATGAACTTATAGTATCATGAAGTCTTGCAGTTGTATGCTTGGGTTGGGATTTAATTTTATTAATTATGGGATCCCAAGCAGATGGTAGCACCCAGCCATCTTCTCTATTGAAATTAGGATGTTTTTTGATTTCAATAGCCTCGCGAATCATCCTTGGAAGGAATCGGTGTTCTTTAGCGAGGATTTGTGGTCTATCAAATCTAATGTAGTGACGGGGGCGATCCTGTACGTGTTCACAGACTGCAGACTTCCCGGAGCGTCTATTCTTCACATCAGCTATGTGTTCTTTAACGCGGGTTTTTATGGATCTTTTAGTTTGTCCTATATAAGAGAGACCACATTCACAATCCAGCTTGTACACTCCTGCATCTTGCAGAGGAATATTACACTTGACTGATGGTAAAAACTGACTAATCTTCTTCGGCGGCTTGAAATATGTTTTAATGGAAGCACGCTTCAAGATGTAGCCAATCTTGTCAGTGACACCTCTGACATATGGCAGTACAGCAGGCACTCGCTCGACTGTGGCTGGCTTCACTCGTTCACTGTGACGTAGGCGCGGGACCCGAAGCTTATTGTCGTGCAAAACTTGCTTGACGTGTTGGAGCTCGGCGGCCAGGTGTTTACTGTCACAGATCCCTCGTGCTCTCTGAAACAGTGATCAGATCTGCGAGCGAGTGCCTGCTGTACTGCCATATGTCAGAGGTGTCACTGACAAGATTGGCTACATCTTGAAGCGTGCTTCCATTAAAACATATTTCAAGCCGCCGAAGAAGATTAGTCAGTTTTTACCATCAGTCAAGTGTAATATTCCTCTGCAAGATGCAGGAGTGTACAAGCTGGATTGTGAATGTGGTCTCTCTTATATAGGACAAACTAAAAGATCCATAAAAACCCGCGTTAAAGAACACATAGCTGATGTGAAGAATAGACGCTCCGGGAAGTCTGCAGTCTGTGAACACGTACAGGATCGCCCCCGTCACTACATTAGATTTGATAGACCACAAATCCTCGCTAAAGAACACCGATTCCTTCCAAGGATGATTCGCGAGGCTATTGAAATCAAAAAACATCCTAATTTCAATAGAGAAGATGGCTGGGTGCTACCATCTGCTTGGGATCCCATAATTAATAAAATTAAATCCCAACCCAAGCATACAACTGCAAGACTTCATGATACTATAAGTTCATACTGCGTAGATCGGAACAAAAATTAATAATTTTTAATCTGGAGGTAGCCGTGGTTAACTATGACATTAGGACGTCATACACCTCAGTCCCCCCCGTGACCATGGGTGCTGTAAAGTGCTCGAAACGTCGGGAAAGTAAAATAAGTTAATATACGCGATAAAATCCGTAAAATTAGTTTTATTTAAATATTTGTACTTATTGTGGTGGCGTCTAAGATTACTCTGTGGGTTATACCAGAAAGATTCTTAAGGTTTCCGATATTTCACTACACTACATTAAATAATAGTTTTTACGGGACAATAAAGAAAGAGGAAACAACTATTATAGTATTACACGCTTTAATTTCTCCCTCTCCTTTCCACCATCGGACAACCAGACGGTCGGCGGGTTTTCATCCCATTGTTGTCGATATTCCACGCATTAGAACCAACGGTTTGCTTCGTTTTTTGTAATGCGTACAACAAAGGAGCGGAATAATTTGCCGGCGTCTATCTTTTCGTTCGAATACAATCTGGGCGTCTTCAAGGCAAGAGTGAATAGGCTTTTGTTACGATAAGCGATTTACTATCTAAGGCTGCATCACCACTTACCACCAGGTGGGATTGTGGTTAAGCACTGGCTTATAATAAGTAAAAAAAAAAAACTAAAAATAAAGGTTTTTTTATACTGGCGATTTGAATATTATGATGCGTGTATGTATGTGTGGGAAATTTGTGTTTGTTTTTCTATGTTTTTTACTTATAATAATACTGCAGTTAAGCACTGTCTCCCATCCGGTGGTGGTAAGTGCACTCTCTTATCGTAAAAAGTTTATTCACTCTTCCTTGAAGATACCCATATTGTAATCGGATGGAAGGACAGACGGTGGCATCTTATAAATGTGTCAATGTCAAAAACGACTGCCTCGTTCGTCTAGCGGTCGTAAATGCCGTTGCTGATCACGAGGTGCTGGGTTCGAATCTCGACTCGGACCAAAATCAGTTATTGTTTCTTTTTTGTCAAGAAATGCTCAATACGAGGGTGACAATGAAAGTTCTTAGAAAATCAGAAACTGAACAAACTAGCAAGCTATTAGTTTTATTATATCTTTTCAAAATAGTGTCCATTTACATCAATACATCGCTGCATTCGATGGAACCACTGAGAAAAGCACTGCCCACTCATACTTTGGGGTCTCTTCGACGGAATTTTGAAACGCAGCTACTGCTTCCTCGGCGTCCATAAAACGTTTTCCTCGAATTTTTTCTTTTATTTTCGGAAATAAATAAAATCGCAAGGTTTTGTCGTCGATCGTCTGACGTCGCCAAGTAGTCGCATGTTTGCTTGACGGTGTACGACGAGGCGTTGTCGTGGAAGGAGGATCCTACTGCGAGGTCATTTCTCTCGAATTTTTTCCAAGACAAGTGGCAAACAATTGTTAGTGTACCATTCTGCAGTAATTATTTTTTTCGATTCTCTAAAACAATAGTTGCGTAATGACCTGTTCTTCGTAAGAACGAGGCCACCATCTTTTTTCCCATGTTTCGACCTCTTTTCACTTTGGTTGGCAACTCCTCGGAAACATCCAGACAGCAGACTGTCTTAGTTTCAGGATCATAACAATAAATCCAGCTTTCGTCACCTAAGTATATCGTACACAGCATTTGAGTCACCTCCGTTAAATTTTTGTACACAATAATATTGGCGTTCCATTTTCAAAATTTGAACTTTTTATTATATCGTTTACAAATGGCCAGTTCTAAAAACTTTTAGTGTCACCTTTTTTGTGACTGGTCACCGTGACTTAAACTTGGTCTGGAGGACATTATTACTATAATATCAATGAATGTGTGCATGCAGGAGGCATTGGCGGGGTCGCAGTGCCGGCAGCCCACGATCGTGGTGTCGCCGGTGGGCTGGGAGGGCGCGGGCGGGGCGGGGGGCGCGGAGGGCGACGAGGAGGAGGAGGAGGACGGCTACACGGCGCGCGCGCTCTACGACTACCAGGCCGCCGCGCCCGACGAGATCTCCTTCGACCCCGACGACCTCATCACCAACATCGTTATGGTAATAAGCCTTTTGAAAATCACTGAACATTAGGCTTTTTAAATGTGGTAGAGACATATTACTGCTATATTAATTGTATAGTTATATCACGAATGGATCGGCTTGGCCGAGGAAAGACCACTCTCTCAGAATACCAGCGTAAAAAAGCAGCTTAATGCTGCTATTTCGTATGGTGAATGTAAAAAACCGGAGACCTTTTTTACTGGAAAAGGAAATTCCATCTTAGTCCTCACGGCAGACAACGCATCTGCATTTTGATTCGCAAACGAGGATAAATGTAGATATCTATGGACCACAACAGCCACTTACCATCAGGTAGACTGTATACTTGCTTGTCACCCTTATCCTATAACAAAAGGCTTGAACATATTCTAACCTACTCTCTAACAAGCGTAATCCATGTAGTAGCGATGTAAAAATGTCCACTACTCTATATCTTTCCGTGGGTGTCTTAAAAGATGACAAAGGCAAACTGAAACAGGAGATGGGCAGCAGTATCATCCTGATAACAACTCAAAATACTAAAAAACTGCAGTGGCCAACGCTCCACTACCAAGCGTGGCAACTATGGCAAAATAACTTTTCTTAAATAATTAGTTTTATATTCTATTCAACAGTTATTCTATATTCTGAATTTATTATTATTAAATTAATAAACTTATTAAAATTTTAGCAGTCATTTTAATCTGCAACCACTTTATACAAAAAGGCTACAGATGCATCGTCGCCACCAAGGGCTAGGATGAAATGCATCACATCATTATTATCATCATCATTACAACCCTTCACAAGTCCACTGCTAAACATAACCTTCGTTCCTGAGCCACCTGCATCCAACGACTTCCTGGACGTCTTACTAGGTCATCACTCCATCTAATGGGGAGCCGCCCTACACTTCATTTACCAGTACGAGGTATCGAGAACCTTTGGTCCCCATCAATTGTCGGTTGCTAAAGATTATAGCATCTACAAAAGTATTCAGTTAAACCCATTTTTTTTTCTACATTTTTACTAAAATCATTTAAAAAGGCCCCTTAAAGTCTCCTAAATGTTTTGAAAGTGGAGACAATCTACACTCATATGTTACGTGCGTGTCATAGATAAATATATAACATACAACATACCAATAAAATTTTAAGATACCTACGATCCGATGATATTTGGTCATAGCCGCCTCGAGGCGGAAACCTACTGTTTGTACGAGGGTAGGGCAAAAAGTTCACGGAATGGCGCGGTTGGCGAGGGTGAGCTTACTCATCCAGATAGGCGCTAGTTGAGTGACTTATTGTTAGTATATATACCAAGTTCAGCCTAATAGGGTAATTAGCATTGAGTTATCAAAGAGTAAACAAGTCAATCGGGAAAAAATTAGCCATTATGGAGAAAATTGAATATCGCGCGGTCATTAAGTTTCTATTGGGTCAGTGAATCGAAACCAAACATTGTTAGAACTATGAAAAATTGAACTCCTGGGAAAACCGTGATTTATAAATGGCACGCCCTTTTCAAACAAGAGAGGGACTCCGTTGAAGACGATCCCCGACCTTGACGGCCGATTGAGGCTACCACACAAGAAATAATCGAAAAAGTTGAATAACTTGTATCGGAAGATACAAATGTATGTAAAGAAAAACAGCTTGCAGCATTCGTTGGAGAATCAGAAACAACCATGTTAAACATCCTACATCAACACTTTGGCATGACTAAAGTCTGTGCAAGATGGGTTCCAAGAATGCTTTCTGCATATTAAAACCACGAGCGCGTTGAAGGTTGTCGCGAGTTTTTGGACCGCTGTGGAGAGCAAAGAGAGGAAGTTATGCCCCGAATTATAACTGGCGATGAAATTTGGGTTCACCATTATGAACCTGAGTCAAAGCAGTCGATGCAGTGGCATAAAAAGGCACACCCCCTCCTAAGAAGTATAAGGTGTCTCAATCGGCCTGAAAGATCATGGCGATTATCTTTTGGGATACAGAAGGTATCCTTTTGATTGATTATAAGGAACGTGGTGTTTCCATAACGGTAGAATACTACGCTTCTTTACTACATCAATTAAAAGAAGCTATTAAAGAAAAAGGGCGAGGAAAGCTTACAAAAGGCGTGCTCCTTTTGTACGCCAATGCGCCCGTGCACACAAGCTATGTTGCGACGGCTGCCATTCACCGGTGCGGTTTTGAACAACTGTGCCACCCACCCTACAGCCCAGAACTGGCCCCAAGCGACTATTATTTGTTTCCAAAAATGAAGAAAGAACTGGGTGGGAAAAAAATTGGCGACGATCATGAAGTGAAGTCGGCAATTTCGGCCTATTTTGACGCCCAAGACAAATCTTTTTTTAGACGGTGTTAATAAGTTATTTGACACATCTAATAAATGTATTAGGAATAATGGAGTTAAATACATTGTAAAGGAAAAAATAGTTTAATCTTTCATTTCATTATCCTTCCCTGTCATTCTGTGAACTTTCGACCCCCCCTCGTAGCTTCTCGTGATGAGATCCATTAATTCCAAAAAAAAAAATGTATTAAACATGAATTTCTTTTAAACAGATCGACGAAGGCTGGTGGCAGGGTCTTTGCAAAGGCGCGTACGGCTTGTTCCCCGCCAACTACGTGCAACTTCAAGACAAATAACTCGCGTGCTTCCGTACATTCCGATTATTTATATATTATATGTATATATTTAATATAGAGCTGTTGATAGTTATCATTTTCGATTTTCATCCGATTACGACGGATGAAAATCGAAAAGTTCCTCACTAATGAATTAATCTTTTTATAAAATTGAAGTGGCAACGAACTTACAGTTTACTTACATAACGTAACAACTATGTAGTTTTGGCTGCATATGTGTGGGTGGGTGTTCTTACATTGAGCTGATTAAGCTGCGAACGGTTTCCGCTACTCATGAAATTAATGTGCGACCGAAGGTCTACTTCTGGCCGAAGCCGAAGGCTTAAAAACCCTAAGATCTTCAGTTTTAAGATTGGCTAAAATTAATAATTTAAATGATTGTATAGTCTTTCTGCTTAGACATTTGTGTCGCGCCGCCTTGGCACGTGCCGTTTCTTGTCAAAGGCGCCACGTGCGGCGTACACCCGCAGGAGAATTGGACATTTAAAAAAAACGTATTGAAATGTTCTTTGCCACCTAACTTGTGTTTTTAATTTATATTCGTATTTTATTACAATAATTATGTGAATAAAATAGTATTCTATTTTATTCTTAGAGTAGAAAAACATTTATTACAACACACTAAAAAATAATAATAGCAAAATAATAAGTGCGCCTCCATTTGTACCGACACTATCTTAGTGAACAGACTATGAAACTTAAATTAAAGATTTATATTGACTGTGTTATATAAAAAGGTAATTTTAATAATCTCCAGAAGTTGTTTTAGAGATGAGAGAAATTACGTCGTCACGTCCATTGCGCTCTCGCTCGTTCGCTACGGTTCGATCAATTTCGCCGCTTGCTAGAAACATTCAGCTTCGGATAAAACTCCGGTTACCAGGAGTGGTTGAAGAGATTATTAGTAATGTTAATACCATTGTTAGTAAGAACGAAACTTCACTTACTTAACGTCATAATGCATGTCACCGTCATATCATACCGCCATTGTAAGATTTGTATTTTAAGGAAAATAAGTTCATAACTAAAATAAAACTAACATGATCACAACTCAGCCCATTAAATATTTTTTTATTATTAAAAAAATGGCTCTCAAACAAGGATTTTTTCCTGGATTGTGGAGGCAATTTACATATATAAATTGCACAAGGTCAATCATCGAGACCCGGAACAATTACTTGTAGGCCGTACAAATACTTGTTCGTGTTCCGTGCGGGGTTCGAATAGACTCGATGGACGCACTGGCGCATATTTTAAGTGACGTCGAAACCATGTTTTTTCTTATTTCTTTCTTTAACAGCCTACTTATACGTCCAGCAATGGACACTTCATTGCTGGACGTATAAGTACCTAAAACCGTGTTGTTACTTGCAAATAATTTTAGGTGTATAATATGCATGATTGAGTGCGTGTTTTTACAATAAGATACATGCTTGTCTTCGTGGTTGGCATGGTTTGGCTTGGTTTCGGCGGTACTTGAAATTTATGCAGTGTTTCTTCTATTTTATACAAAAAAAATTTATAAGGAGAAATATTTATTAAATATGGAACAAACAAATAAACTTAATTTTTTTTTATTCCATATTTAACACAAATCACCTGATGTTAGTGCATAAAGTGTCTCCCGCATACAAACGGCTTGCGGTGGCGGCCAGTTGTACTCGCTTGATGGTGGCATTTCACATGGCTATTTGTATTTGCGTATTTTGCATATTTGGCAAACAATTACCACGTGTGGACAGTATATTTGAGAAAGTATTGGCCTTATTTGCCTATTGACAAATATGACCAATATCAAATACGCGTTACCGTGCGCTTGTCGGTTTCTTGGCGCACATTAAAGGGGTCAAATAGGCAAATGCGCAAATAAACCGTCCACGTCCACACAAGACAATGGCTATATTCAGAAGCGCACGCGCCGTCGACCTATGCGGGCGTACAGTTTTTTGTGTGTTGTGAACTTGAACTTGGACAACTATTGAAAATCAATTTAAATAATAAAATCCCGCTGCAAGTTGAAACACGTCCATAGTTTTGATGAACACATCGCCTTCTGCTGCCAAATGTTTGTCGTTGTTATTTGCCTGTGTTTGCATGTGCGTCATATAATGTTCCAAAATACAACAAACACCCAAAAACGAACACAAATAGCCATGTGAAGTGCCACCATGAGATGTAAGTGTGTCTGCAAACCCGTGCAGCCATGTCGCGCCTGCGAACGGTTTTTTTAAATTACTGGTTTAATCATTGGGCTTGTTATTTTTTACGCAATGTTAATTTATTGCTATAAAACCAATAAAAAATTAGAAATTTAAGATCATCTAAAAGAAGTCAAAAAGTATTTTGTTGTCATAAGTTAGGAAAATTGTTAAAAATCCATTAAATAAACATGTTATGATGGACAACCACTTATAACGTATGTATTAAATGAATTAAATTACATTATATTTGTATATGCTGACTATGAGGGCTAATAATCTTCCGCTCACCAGATGTCGCTAGTTGACACTGGGGTGAAGTTTTTTTTGTCACAATGTTATTTAATTGAGAAGCTAGTTTTAAATTAAAGTTTATCAGTTTCTAGAGTATTATAATTAATACACAAAACAATGCCTCGGTGGTTTTGCTCTTTAATTTTTTGCACATTTTTAACTCTGTATTTTGATCATCTACTTTTATGAATATTTGTGGTTTTGTTTATTTATTTTTAAACTAATTAATATCAAATATAACTAATAGTACATAAAGAAACATTAACCTTTACAAGTTTCGATTCAATTTACTTCCCCGCTATGAAATCTGTCAAACATTACACCAATAGTCGTGGATACCCTTATTGTCGAAAACCGTTTTAGAAAATTTTATTTTATTATTCCTTTATCTTAAAATAATGCTTTCTTTTTTATCGCCGCTTTATTTGCATTAAGATGAATTTGATTTGTATGGATATTGCATGTAGATGGGCAGCAGCATCTTTCTGACAACAGCTGAATAAAATTAAAAATTGCGGTTGCCAACCAGCCTGCGAAGCGTGGTAACTATGGCAAATATCTTTTGATAGGATATAATAGCTTGGCGATCGTAGTACCACGTCCTGTAGCTTACTGTTCCTTGGTAGGTCAGGGTATTAACTTATCGTATATGAGATTGTTTATTGCCATCTACCGTAGGCCATGATTTGGTATTTAAAAGAAAATAGCAGCTTAATACTGCTGTGTTTCGTATGGTGAGTGTAGAGAACCGGAGCCGGAACCTTCTTCTGGAAAATAGGCATTTCATCCTAGTCCTCACGGCTGACAACGCATCTGCATTTTGATTCGCAAACGAGGATAGATGTAGATGTCTACGGGCCACAGCAACAACTTACCATCAGGTGGACTGTGTGCTCGCTTGTCACCCTTATCCTATAAAAAAAAAAGAAAGAAAATTATTTATTACAACAAACACCTACACATTACAAAAGATATTACAGACTAAACAATTTATTACTACACAACTAAAAAGAAACTAAATCGTAACTAAAAATGGAAGCAATTCAATCATAAGATTTATTGTGTGCGGGTTTGATATAAAAGGACCACATTATTTCGTGGTATTATCCACGAGACTGGTTTTCATTGCGCCCTCTAGTGAGTAACGTAGGGACGAATATGCAACAACAAGTACAACTAACTATCAACTATTACTACACTAGACCTGTTTCATCTACCACATATAACTCTATGGATGTATCTTATCTCATTATGGATACCCTCGTGGCGAAATGCAAAGTAATCTTTGTGTACTACTAGACCCGCTATTCGGAGCAAAAACTGTGTCACATTTGTGGATCGCGTTGGATGTTAGCTGGCATAGTTAATTATGCCGCGCAGTTGAATTTTAATTTACGACTATTATTGTATTTCCGTAAATAAGAAATGAAGTTACATAATTACCTGAAATAAACTTCATATCACGTAAATAATGACAGCGTTTTCTTAGTTATTATGCACCATCACCTATACAAATGGTGCGACGAATTTTCTTAGACCCTGACCACACAGTATCCTAAAAGAATTGAATTGATTGATTAAGAAGTTTCGCCTAGATCTAGTTAGTATTATGTAGAATTTTCACTGAAAATTGTTTTTATAATAATTTAGCATAGAAATAATAAATTAATGTAATGCTCTGTATTTTTAGGATTAAGAATTTTATTTTTTTAATATTGTATTGCAATAATTATCGTGATTATTTACTATAAGGCTTTGTTATTAAATGCTTTAAAACTAATGTCTGAATATGTTGAAATAAAGTAAGTAATTATGGATATGTTTATTATGCATTGCATAATATGATAATGCATTCAACATTCTACGGTGCAAAAGTTATTTAGATACTTAGTTAATATTTAAAATGTTACTGTACCATGTGTCATATATAGAAACAAAAAGTGAATCAACGTATATGAAATCAGACATGTACATAAAATCAGAAAAATCAATGATATTTACATATAGATCAAAATACGTGCTTATTACTTTTTATGTTTTCAAAACTGTGAGACGCGCAAATATCGGTAAACTGTCTCTTTGTTTCATTTGATAATTTCATAACGCCAACGTTATTATTTCAGTGAATGATAACGATGATATTGCGCTCTTGCTCGTTATTTTAGTCCTTATGGGATGGTGTTGTGATATGTTACATTTATATCGATTACATTTATTGTAAGTAGCGGCACGAAAGTCTAGCGGGGACCGTTATTGCACATAACTCGCGCTGATTGGCTCGTGCGTATTGTTCGCACGCGCTGTTTGGCTCTCCATTCGTATTCGTGCAATTCAATTCGTGAGCGTCACCTTCAGCGTTCGTTTCGTTCATTGCTAGACTTACGTGCCGCGACTTGTACCAGTAATTACGCGAAGAAATATTTACCGTGTAGGGGCGGTGTAAGAATATGAAATACCCCATATCGTCCACTGAACTGTTGTAAGAGGCGTCAGTGGGAAATTGTAAAT